TTACAAAAAATGCCATTTAAAAAACATCTTTAAAATAAAAGCAATGCAGCTTAAATCCAGGCATGCAGTAAAATTATAATATGTTTATTTTGTAAATCCAAATGAGCTTAAACGGGCCGGTCAGAGTCAACAGAAGGGCTGTATGTGACCCCGAAGCTGTACAATGCCCAGGTCTGGCATAGACTAAACCTATTAAAGATTACAAGTCAGATCTGTGAAGAGTCGCCCCTATTCACAGAGGGAATTATTGTATTTCTGAGCAATAGAAACACTTGTAATTAGTAACTGTCAGATGTATATATTTAATAGGGATGGGCATGATTTGTCAACTAATCGATAACTGATCATTAAGAATTTTGTTGATCATGTTCATTTTTAATCGACAAATCAAATTTAGGTTGTCATTCATAGTGTAAGGAGATGAGACTGCGTCTGACAGCGCAAACACTGGAGTTGTGGCCTCACTGTCCCACGTTTCAGCTGAGGCACTTCCTTGGAGATCACTAGTCACAGAAGGAACACCTATATTCCACTGAGTCGTGTCCTTCAGTCCGACAGAAGCTGAACCGCATCAGAGCACAAGGAGAGAGCTGTTTTGCTCAGCACTAATAGTTTATGCAAATGAGCCGTGCTGTTTTAAGTTGAATTTCTATAAAACGTAAATAAATGTGCCAAACTGCATTATAATGTCAAATGGGCTGATGTGTCTATAGTCGTTATGGTTTATATGTTGTAAAGTTGAGTTTATTTATGCAGATTAGTAAAAATAATCATGATCATTTTAATATAAAAACATTAATGATTAATCTAAAATCGATTTTTGATGAAAATTTAATCAAATGTCCATCCCTAATATTTAATGTCATACAATGGAACATTCAAGGCAAAGCAATAACATCTTCATGGAGACAAGTGCGTAGTGGACCCTTCACCAGAAAAGTTGCTCCTTTAAAATGCTGAATGTTCCTAGAGCGAGTGATTTCTGACTTCAGTTAACATTAGATTGATGCTTGAGAACAATTGCATCTATTTATTCTATCCGTTTTCTCACAGCCTAGTGGACCCTTGGACATGGGACTGGGCTAATTGCTGGTTTGAGCCGTGGAGTGGGGAGTTAGTGTAGGGAGGGGGCCTGTCTGACAGCTGATGTTGGCACCGCTGATGCTGCTGCTGTTCACTGAATGAGCTTATTACACGCTCGGCTAAGCTGACAGAGACACGGAGCCACTATCACTGGACCGGGCTATACGCTGAAGCAGGTTTAATTGAATTTGGGGATAAATAATAACGGTATGTAGATGAGTTCGTAATGAAATCAAACCGATTGAACGTGGCTAATAAAATCCTGTTTACGTGCTATTGTTCAAGGTGAAAATATAACAGGTTGAATCATTCTTATCGAGGTAATTGGAAAACTAAAATTGAATATTGTTTAAAGGGCTTACGCTACGTCCTGACAAACATACCCACGTTTTGTTTCATTCTCACACGTTTCTTCTCTCAAATCAAAAACACGCTGTTCCACCTTGTGATATGAACAATAACCAAAATATCGTGATATCGTATCGTCAAAGTTCTCTCAATATCGTGGGCCATCACAATATATCGAATTACAAGTATCTTTGCTTAAATTAAGAGTTATGGTGCAGCAATAGCTAAAAAAGACAGAGGGAACTACATAGACCATGATCCTTTGCTCCATTTCAGTGTAGAAACATGAAGAAATAACAGTTCTAAGCACTTTTATTTCTTTGGATTAAGTCTTGTCAAGGCATTTTAAGAGGAAAAAGTAACATATTAACAGTTTTGTTCACAGCCTCCACAAAATATTGCAATAAATATTGTACCGTGAGATGTATATCGTGAAAATATTGTACCTAGAGATTTGGATATTGTTACATAATCGTGAGCCTCCCCACCATATCGTGAGCTTTCCCACCATATCGCAATAAATACCGTGAGCTTCATACCGTGACGATATCGTATCATGAGATTTGGATATTGTTACACCCCTAATAATACAAGAAGTACTCCACTGTGATTTTAAACTCTATATCTCTGGAATTTCTAGTCTCTACTAAATAAACGGTAAAACATAGCTGTTAACTTGAAAACTACTGCTTTATGACATCACAACGTGTAACAATAAAGAGTTACTGAAAGCGTTGTGAAAAAACTAAGATTTAATTTTGCCTAATATGGGACCTGGTAAACGGTTTATTGTTTATTTTTTATCCCCATTAGCATCTGCAGCGTACTGTGTCCCTTTTCCTGTGGTCATAAAATTTTACTTTACTGTTCCTAAGGCTGCTTGATTATGGAAAAAAAGTCATTATCACCATTATTTTGGTTAATATTGAAATCACGATTATTCAAACTATTTTTAGTTACACAATGCATTTATTCAGCATTTCTCTCTCTCTCAAAAAAAACCCCAAAAACAAACTAAAAACACTTTGTTATTAATATTTTATGCAAAACTTTGAAATTGAAAATAAATATAGGCTACAAATATGTACCTTAGAGCAGTTTTGTAATTTCTTATAATTGCAAATTCTTGACATCAGATGTAAATTATATATTGAAAAATCGGTAATATCTCTGTTTTTTTGGAGACATGCAAAATTTTAATATTCGTCTATAATTTCATATAATTATATTGTTTGTTGTAATGCTCCAAACAAGGGTGTACAAAAAGGGGATATTTCTGCCCTTTTGTGGATATTTTTATGGTGAATTAATATTTTGTGCTACATGAACCTCAACCAAGACAGAGACACATTTTAGCACATTCCTGATGCATTGTTAAACATTGTCTGAATTTTGTTAGAAAGACAAAACAAACAGAAAAAGATGAATTCATTTTTGTCAATATCACCAACTCCCTAATGATGAAGGGCGGAACCTGCTCTAGTTTAACAGTATTTGTGAACGTGTGTGAAAAATGCCTCTAGACCTCCATTGTGTGAGAGAAATTTACATAAGGATTGTTGAGAAATACTGTATGCAAATTCCTAGAAATGTCAGCCCTTTGAATTTATGTGTGAGCCATAAAAAGTGTAAATCTGTTTGCTCCTGTTTGAATATGTATAGACATCTGTTAGCCAAAGGACACATGTACACAGTCGCTACTAACAGCCTAAGTACTGAACATACACATCTATTCTGACAATTTGTACTGATTTATGTTTTAAGGCTTCTGTCAATGTTATTCTAAGCCCAACTTTGTACAAATTAAGTACACAGGAAAAAGAAATACTGCCATGAGTTACATTTTTATTTAATTTTACTAGCATTTTAGATCACATTTTTAAATAATACTGTTAAAATGTGTGTAAAATCTCTCAGTTGCCAGGTGGAATCCATGGCAAAAGAAGAAATTGAATTTGTCAACTGGGCAAAATTTTATTTTGGTCGAATATGTTTCACAGCTCATCCAAGCTGCTTCTTTATTTCTGGTCAGACGCTGGTGGATACTTCTTTATATCTGCCTGAAAAGAGGAGCTAACTACAATGAAACTACTCTGAATCTAACACACGTACTTGTTTAACAGTTTCTGTTTGTTAACTAGACCTATTGAACTTGCACTAAGTGTGGGGTCATATTAGCAGAATCATTCAGGGCAAGTAGGTGTGTGAGTTTCAGAGTACTTTCAGTGTAAGTAAGTAATTAAGTAAGTTTTTTATTTATACAGTGCTTTTCACAGATATATGTCACAAAGATGCTTTACACATCATTATTTATTCACTCCATACCTGGTGGTGATGAGCTACTATTGTAGCCACAGCTGCCCTGGGGCAGACTGACTGAAGCGTGGCCCCTCCAACCATCACAATCATTCACGCAGACTCCACTTTCATACTAGGCAAAGTGGGTGAAGTGCCTTGCCTAAAGAACAACACATTTTTTTGACTGACGCCCCCCTGTGGCACCTGCGTTTCCCAGCGGTCTCCCATCCAAGTACTAACCAGGCCCGGCCTTGCTTAGCTTCTGAGATCTGACGGGATCAGGCTTTGACAAGCTGGTATGGCCACTTGTTGCTCCTCCCTTCAGAGAGATATAAGGCAGTGTCCACCAGCGTCTGATCAGAACTGAAGAAGCAGCTTGGATGAGCTGCGAAACGTAATTGACCAAAATAAACTTTTGTCCAGTCAACAAATTGAATTTCTTCTTTTGCCAATACTGTCAAAACTGAATTAATTGTTTTGGCCAATCAGAGCAGGTGATGCGGTGCTGTTATCATAGACTCTTTAATGAAGTGTAGTGCTAAGTGAGTGTGACGTCACCCGTAGTGTGCAGCTGCAGCCAAATGAAGCTCATCAAGGCCTGCGGCACTTATAGCGAAGAATTTGGAGTTCCATATTTGAAATTCCGACCGAGAGTATCATAGCAAACACAGGGCCAATCTGAAGTGAGGCTGTTAAAGGTAACAACGCTGTCAGTCAGACCTGTTGCTAACGCTAGCAGGAGCAAACGCAGGAAAAGAGAAGGCACCTGATTCGTCTACCAGCTGCATTTCAAGTAGGAAGATTATTTAGATGCAGCGGCTAGTGTGTTAGGTACAGTATGTCCGTTTCTATATACAGTCAATGTATGTCTATGTGCATTTAAAAGGAGCAGAAACAACAGGAAGACAACAGTGCACTTTAAAACCACAAAAAATCTACTGAATTGTAATAACTTAAGTATTTGTAATTACTTTCCACACCAAGTCTTTAAATGCGTCTTCAGTTAAACTGTCGATGGAACACATGGAGGTCCAAATGTTTTCTCTAATGAGTCTTTCTTCCATGTTGCTCTGAAGATGCAGTGACATTGACATTGCTGTGACTGTCTGCTTTTATGAACACTCAGACAGCTGAATTGACTGAGCACATTGATTGGTTATGGGCTGCAGCCTTCGCACGTCTCCGTAAATATTATCATGACACCAGTTCAGGCTGTGGAGGCTTCCTGCAGGTGGAGATGGACTATTGATCCTGTGAATGTTGTGTTTCAGGACCACTGCTTCTACCACGGCCGTGTGAGGGGGCATTCCGACTCCTGGGTGGCTCTCAGCACATGCGCGGGAGTCAGGTATGGCAGCACTACACTATATTATTGATGACTAAAATCCATACATAAAATATAAAAACTTACAACTTTTAAAACTTCGGAAGTTATCGACATATGCTCTCAAAAACTTAAGTTACACTGTAGTTTGTTCATGTTCCATTGTAAGTTTAAAATGAAGACTGAGACTTTTTTATTCATTCATTCATTTTATTTGTTTGAGCAAGGTAAAACAAAATCAACAACAATAACAAACAAACAAAACAAGGATATGTACATGTACATATTTGGGATTTGGTGCTCAAAAGGAGTAGGATGAAGTTTAATAAACTTATAATGTCCTACCCCATTTGCTTTACATTATCAAATCTTTTCACTTGGCCTTTCATCAGTTATTATCTATAGACATCTTTGCACAATATACAGGGTTCCCATGGTCATGGAAATCCTGGAATCGTCATAGAAATTGAAAATGTCATTTTCTAGGCCTGGAAAAGTTATGTAATTTTGTAAATTCAATGAAAGTTTTGGAGAAGTCATGGAATTTTAGTGTCTCTTTCAGGCAACTACAGCGTTCTGTTAAATTCTCATTAGGCTACTATGATTATTTCTGAACGTCTGCACCTTTTGTTTAAAAGAGACAACAATAAATGCACTGACAGTATTTTTAATGTTAAATAAAAACTGTAATACTAAACCATAAGGTGAGTGAACAGTGTTAAAGGGACAGTTCTAAATTTTAGACATAGGACCTCATTTCCTAGTGAACCAGAGTATTGGAGACGTGTGGAGACATATTTTTAAATATTCCATCCTTGTATTAGCAGCGGTCGCTGGTGCTAGGCTAGTGCATGTCAATGGCCATAGTTATCCTGCCACTAAAAACAGTCTTACCCACTCCACAAAACACCTGAAACAAAACAATTATAATGCCAGACTGTCAATGTGAATGTCTGTGTTGATTTAATAATGTTTGAAATAAAACTAACCTTGCATTGCATGAATCGTCAAATGTTGAGGGACTATTTTCTCATGTATCAGTCCGCCACTGCCAAGATTTCTATCAGAAAGTACAACTCGCTGCTGCTGCTCCGACATTAATACTTCAAGTGTGAGGTTGGTTTTACTTCTGAATTTATTCTATCAACAAAGACTTTACATGGGCAGTCTGGCATAATAATTGTTTTGGTTCAGGTGTTTTGTGGAGTGTGTAAGAGTGTTTTTAGTGGCAGGATAACTATGGCCATTGACATACACTAGCCTAGCACCAGCGACCTCTGCAAATACAAGGGCTGGATGGAATATTTAAAAATATGTCTCCACACATTTCCAACACTCTGGCTCACTAGGAAATGAGACCCAAAATTCTGAACTATCCCTTTAACATTTCATATTTAGCCCTAAAAGTATGCTCAGTTCTACAAATGTAGGTGCCGTAAAGTCGTGGAAAATTCACTTTAGGTCATGAAAAATCATGGAAAAGTTTAGAAATTTTGTCAGTGAAAAAGAGTGGGAACCCTGAATCTAACCTCAGTAGAAAGAAGCTCTCTACATTGATCATAGCTGCGTGGGTCCAGGAGTGTCAGCGCTCACTTGGATACTGAAAGGCTTTATTAGACTCGTCACATTTATATTCCCTCTCTTCCCTATGGGCAGTCACTAGCAATAACTGGCACATGCTATTGCTCTTTTACTTGTCCCGTTATCTACCTGTGTGTATACACTGACAGACACCTCATAAAATCTTAACAGTAATCATTTTGCTTGCCATATTTAATAACATTTGAAGATTTACTGATTTATCTTGAAAATCCACTGACTTTCAAAACTGCACATCTGATTCTCTTCTACTGGCTCAATTTCTTCTCAAGTGTAACCAGGATTTTTGAGGGATGGCTAACATTTGTATGACCCAGAGTCAGATTTTTAAAATAATCACCAAAAAGTGAATAAAAGTAGATTTTTGAAATAAATCTCCCATAATCTATTTCCGCTCTGCTACAACTTCACGCTGAATGAGTCAACAGCTTAACGGCTTCCTCTGCCTCTATCCATTAGCTCAAATTGCACTTAAATATTATACAAGAAGGAGATGTACTTTTCAATTATACTTAAATCTAGTTAAAAACCAGACCAGAGAGCTGCATCTTTATTATTGCAGTTCCAAGTATTGCTGCAGATGTAGGGTTTGCCATTGATCATTTGTACAATTCCATAGAAACAACTCTCTTATGCAAGTTGTCCTGAGGGCCTCCGCGCTCACATTTTTCTTTGTTCTCCAGTTTTCAAATAATTGTGTCAAATGAACATCAATAAATGAAATCAAACAGAAAATGGCTGTGCGTAGTTAGCGTTTCGGCATGTGCGGGAGGTAATACAAACAGTCATGAAGAGACGCTAATGTGGAGCCATGTCAATAAAAGCATAAAGTCAATTTCAAGCAAGACTGACTTTCCCAGTGACAAGCGCTCAGGGCCTTGTACAGCAATTATTGTGTTGTCCTTGGGTTATTCACCACAGTGTTTGCTAATGTGCACAATTAGCTTCCCACTCTACTGTATTTGAATGAGAAAGTAGTGATTTTTTATTTTTTTTTGGTTTGTCAAAAGATGTCAGAAAAGTGTTCGATTTGATGTTTCAGAGCCAGGAATATTGTAAGAGTAGGAGTAAATTTGAAAGTGCTTAAGAGGGCAACTAACTTCATAATAATTTCTCTTTTTTTTTCTGCTTTTCATCTTAAACTCTGAATTTAAGATTAGAACTAGAAGAGTGAAGAGTCAAGGTTTCAGTTTCATGCGTATTAAGGAGCATTGCAGCAGAATCCATATGTCATTCGTTCATTTGTTTTTCAAAATAAAACCAAAAATAAGAAAATGAAAAAAACTACTATTTTCTTCATTATTTGTCTCCAAAACCAAAATGAAAAAATGGATAAAGATAATTTTTTTCAGTTTTTCACTAATGGAAAAAATGGATAACAGCCGTTTCTGGACTTAAACTGCGATGCGGAACTTCTGTGCCGCATACGGACTGAACCAGGACTGAACCAGGACTGAATCAGGACTGAACCAGGACTGAACCAGGAGTGTCGGCACAGGCCTGGAGGTGCGCCCGTGTGGACTGATCAGGACTGAGACACGGACCAGACCGGGACCAGACCAGGACTGAGACCGGGACCAAACCGGGACCAGACCAGGACTGAGACCAGGATTGAAACCTGAATCAGGACTAGGACTGAACCAGGACTGATCCCAGGACTAAAACAGGACTACACTAGGATTAAACCGGGACTAAACCAGGTCTAAACCAGAACTGAACCAGGACTACACCAGATCCCTGTGTCAGTCGTGGTCTGTTCCCAATCTCAGTCCCGGTCTCAGTCCTGGTCTGGTCCTGGTCTGGTCCCGGTCTCAGTCCTTTTCTCAGTCCCAGTCTTAGTCTTGGTTCAGTCCTGGTTCAGTCCGGCATCACAGTTTAAGTCTGGAAACAGCTGTTGTCCTTTTTTTTTTTTTCCATTTTTCATTTAAACACAAAATCGAAAACTGAAAAAACTAATCGTTATCCGTTTTTTCATTTTGGTTTTGGAGACAAATAATGAAGAAAATAATAGTTTTTTCATTTTCTTATTTTTGATTTTATTTTGAAACATGAATGCACGAGTGATTCACCTATTCAGCAGGATAAAGAAACTGATTCTAACTGTCTACATGGTGAGAGCAAATAATCCAACTGAATCTGTTATTTTATATTTATTTGTTTGTTTATTTGCCACTGGACGTGTAGATGTTCTAGTTTAGTTCTAGTGCAGGACAAAGGGTGCAAGACTCCACTTTTGCTTGATTAAGTGGTCAGCATGTTGAAAAGCACAGACTTTTAGATCCACGTTTGTTAAATAAATCATATTTTTTGCTTCAAAGCGCAGAAGTCTTGTGTTTATGTTTTGGTACTGATTGGAAACTCATTTTGGAGCTGCAAGTCTGAAAGAGTCTGTTTCATGTTCATTTCAGTACAACTGATTGAGTTGGACTCCAGTAGAAAGTAATTTATGAAATAGATCAAAAGAGAATAGTTTGCATTTAATTTTGAGAATGAGAATATCCTGTTTTGTTTTGTTCTCATTTACCCAGAGTAGAGATTTTCTATATTTAGTTGTAACAGTACACGTTGGAATCCATTGGAATCCATTTTATATTCACTTGACACTCAAACATGCAAACGCAAATGAAGCAAAGCATCTATCTTACTTTTATTCACTTACAGTCATTGTTATTGCTACAAAGCAGAGGTGGGACCAAGTTGTTGTTTAGCAAATCTCAAGTAAGTCTCAAGTCTTTGACCTCAAGTCCAAGTCAAGTTCCAAGTCAAAGACGGGCAAGTCCAAGTCGAGTTTCGAGTCACTGGCCCATAAGTCCAAGTCAAGTCCAAATCATCTGCTTTGAGCTTCACCTTATTTCAAGTCTTTAAACCTAAGTACCAAATATAGCTTAGGTTTTTGCAATTTATATGATTTTAAAGACAAATTGTACTTTAAAAAAATCATAGTACTTATATATGAGTATTTATAGAGTGTGTAAGAGTTGTAGAAATGTTAATTTTTCCTTTTTAAATGTCTTGACAATCATTACGGTCAGAATTGAAAGAATTCAGATTTAAAAGTGCTTCACAAGTCTTCTCAAGTCACAGGCCTCAAGTTCGAGTCCCAAGTCACTGACCTTCAAGCCCAAGCCCAAGTCTTAGTCCATTTTATCATGTCAAGTCTCAAGTCCTAAAAGAGGAGTGACTCAAGTCTGACTTGCAAATCCCCTCCTCTGATACAAAGTATCTTGAAAAACATACATTCTACCTGTGATCTGTCTTGCCGCGCCGCAGATCTGACCTGTAACTTAGCCTTGTGGCACCCCCTGCTTGTGCCTAACTTAAATGCCACCACTATGGAACTTTCCACACTAAGAAAGGATTTATACTGTGACTCTTATCCTCTGTAATCTAACATTTTGATTCAAATAGTGTTGCACAGTAAAACTCAGGGGATGCGAGTGCTAAAATGTTTATGAGTTGGATGTAATAACAGAGATATCAAGTGTGCTCAGCAGGGCTCCAGCAGCACTTAATCTGAAATGAGAACTCCTGTGTGATAAGTGTGTGTGTGGACGGATTTTTATCACATTTACACACTCATTTTATGGGGACCTGCCTTCCATATGGGGCCAAAAATCGGGTCGCCATAACGTGAATCCTTTATTATTAGATCAAAAGTTCATATACTAGTGATTAAAATAAGTTAAGGTTAGAGGTTAGGGAAAGGTTACGCAAGTTCTGACTATAGTTAGAGTTGGTTAGAGGAAAAGCATGGGAACCCAATGTGTGTGCGTGTGTGTATGTGTGTGCGTTTGTGTGTGAGGGGCTCTGTCCGTGGTGCTGATCTGGACTGCAGCCAAACGACACAGTGTTGACAGCAGATCAGACGGAACATGGAGGAGAGTCAGAGAGGAGGGAAAGCCTGTCACTACAAGACATGTCCAAACCGGTGCTAACTAGAGTTCAGTGGGACATTTGCTCAAGACAAAACTAGAGGATTATAAGCCATGACTAGTGAACATTTTAAACCACAAATCTATACTATTTTATTCAATTTGCCACTGAATTATGCATATTATTTGCAGTCATTTGTATTCTTGTCCACTGACTAAACTTCATAATTGCCTTGTTCTCATTTATTTACACTATGAGTACTTACAAATGAATATGTACGTTGACAGTAATTGCTGAAGCATTAGAGAAAGAACGGGACATTGCGTTTCACTTATGAAAAAGCTCACAGTTTGTCCCTGCTTTGAGCTTGTTAATACCACAGAGTACACGCTCAGAAATCTTTGACTGTATTTAATGGCATGTTAGCAGCAGCTGTTGTTGTCCGTGCACATATGTCCCTCCTTATGGTCAGCCTGTGTGGCCAGCGCGCCACCGTCACTCTGATGTTGTATTATATCTCAGCTGTCACTGGACACATGTGCAATAATATAACATTTGTCCAGAGAGATCGTTTTTCTTACTGCTCTTCTGTTCAATGCTGCAAACACAAGCAGATGCTGCCTACTCTTACGCTCCCACTCGTCCTCTTGGCCAATGTCAGTCATTGCTCTCAGGGCGTGACAGCAGATTTAAAGGGAATATATTACACAAAATGGACTCTTCTGAGCTTTAAGCCATGTTAAAATGTTGTTCCCTCATCAAAACATACCTGGAGTCATGTTTTGTTTCATTCAAATGTGCTTGAGTAGTTTAGTCTATCTGAGGGATGGGCATGATTAGTCGATTAATCGATAATTGATCATTAAGAATTTAATCGATTACGTTAATTTTAATCGACAAACCGAATGTAGGTTGCTGTGTGTAGCGTGACCAAACAGGGGTCCGTACATGTGTCTCTCTGCACTCAGAAGGAGCGAGACACAAACATTCGGTCAGTCTGCAACGTACCAAAGCACAAATGTGTATTTAACGATGATTTGTACAAGAAAATCCACGCTTTCCGTTACATTCGGGACAAGTGTGAGTCCATGTGCACAGTGTATAAAGCAGGAACATATGTTTCAGTGTTCAGTGGGAAAAAGTTTTACCAGGTGAGAGTCGCGCAATGTCGATGACGAGGACTCACCTCCCTCCCCCCATACGGTGTCCTGATTTTGACAAACGCAAATATGGTCACACTAACCTGTATTCCACTGAGTCATGTCTTTTAATCCGACAGAAATTGACCGCATCGGTGCTCAAGAGCTGTAGTTTTATCTTCGCTGAGTTTATGCAAATTAGCGATGCGGTTTTAAGTTTCGTTTCTGTGAGAGTTGCGCAAAACTGAATTAAACACATTATAATGTCAAACGGATTGATGTGGCTCTAGAGTCGTTACGGTTTATATGTCGTAAAGTTGAGTTTATTTATGCAGATTAGTAGTGCAGATAGTAATAATGATGATCATTTTAATATAAAAACGTTAATGATTAATCGATAATCGATCATTAATTCTTCCGATGATCGATTAAGAAAATTTCATCGAATGCCCATCCCTAGTCTGTCTACATCTCCACCTCTCAAATTGCTCTGTTCCATCTTGTAATGTCATGAAGGGGTAATAATAATAAATCATAATGCAGCAGTTTTCTTTAGCGCTTTTCTGGACACTCAAAGACGCTTTACAGAGCATTATTCATTCACTCTACACTCGGTGGTGGTAAACTACTAATGTATCCACAGACTGATGTAAGCGAGGCTGCCAATCTGTGCCATCGCCCCCTCTGACCACCACCATCACTCACACACACTCCACTTTCACAATATGGGTGAAGTGCCTTGCCTAAGGACACAGCGACAGCGCCCCATTGTGGCACCTGATTTTCCCAGTGATCTCCCATCTTAAGTACTGACCAGGCCCGGCCTTGCTCAGCGTCTGAGATCTGACGGGGTCAGGCTTTGACAAGACGGTATCGGACAAGCTGTTAGTTTTCAAGTTAACAGCTCTTTTTACCTTTAGTTCAGTAGAGATTGGAAATTCCAGGGCTCAAATCATCCAAATGATTCTAGTAAAGTTGTTTAGACTAAAAATACAGTGGAGCCCTTCCTGTATTACCACTAGGGATGTAACAATAACCAAAATATTGTGATATCATCAGAGTTCTCACAATAATACAATGGACCATCAAAATATATATAAAATTACAAGTCTCTTTGCTTAAATTAAGAGTTATGATGCAGCAATAGCTAAAAAAGGACAGAGAGAACTACACAGACCATGATCCTTTGCTCTGTTTCAGTGTAGACTACAAGAAGAAATAACAGTTCTAAGCACTTATAAGTCTTAGTTCTTTGGATTAAGTCTTGTCAAGGCATTTTAAGAGGAAAAAGTATGTTCGCCTCCACAAAAATATCACAATAAATATCGTACCGTGAGATGTATATCATGAAAATATTGTACTGAGAGATTTGGATATTGTTACATCCCTAATCGCGAGCCTCCCCACCATATCATGAGCTTTCCCTCGATATCGCAATAAATACTAGTACTGTGAGGTTCATACCGTGACGATATCGTATCATGAGACTTGGATATGGTTAAAAGTGTGTTTTCCATTTGACAGAAGAACCTAAATATGCAGAGTCTGTGCGTTAAACATGTGTGAATGAAACAAAACATAACTCCAGGTCTGTTTTTGATGAGAAAACAACATTATAACAGCTCAGAAAATATGGGCCCTTTAAACAATCACAGTCAAAGAGTTAGAGTTTATATTTCTTCTTTTTTCTTTTCATGCTATATATCATTTATAATTGCAGGTATAAAACAGTATCCAGAAAAAACTTCATACATTGTGTTAAGTCTGAGAAATTCTACAGAAATGTAAAAGAAAAAATAGTTGTGCGAATGCTTGCTTATCAAAGCTCGTGTGAGTCATTCTTGCTCAAGGCCAAAGCAGAGATAGAATTTATGAAGTTGTCCTGGGCTTTACTGCTTTCAAATACGGTAGGCTTGAAAACCGCTCTGAATTCAGGTGTGTGCCTGTGGTGGTTTTGCAGGGGCCTGATATCCTTGAACTCCAGCCACAACTTCTACTTGGAACCTGTGAGCGGAGACGACCACTCCCTGCTCAGCACTGACCAGCTGTCCATCACCCACGGCAGCTGTGGACATGGACACGCCCACAGCATGCTACTGTCCAACCAGATATCCTCTTTTCACTCCAGGGTAAGTCAACACTCACTACAGTAATTGGATTATTCTTTGTAATGCCAGGTTCATTTAGAAAAGTAAAGGGGGGGAAAAAAAAAAGAAAGCACTTAATAAACATTGAAATGGTAAGTAAGTATTGATTTGTCTGTGTGTGACAGCAGTGAGGAGCAAACAGTTGTTTTCCTCTCGTCTAAATGTTGTGTATCTCATGTGAATCGTGACTCCCACAGCATCAGGAACTTTGCCCCAAACACCTGAGCCCTGTGATGCAGAACACTCCATGGCTACGGAAAAGGATTAACTCAGGACAAAACCACATTTATCTACTCGAAAATCTTGTTATTAAAAATATTTGAAGGTGACATAGCATGGATAATAATGAAATATAGTATGGTAATCGTGGAAGAGTGGATTAATCCAATGTAAACTAGTTTGTCAAAGATGGAGTATGCACTTTTTTAACCATGCTTTAACAGCATTGTAACATATAACAAGCCTGATTCATCACCCTGTTTCAGTTCGTGGAAATAGTCTGACCTTGTAGCACTAGAATTTGTTCGCTCGACACTAAGTGGGTACTAGGTGGTGCCAGCCTGGTTAACATATAACACCTGGAGTTGCATTTATTTGTACTTTATTTTACATTTCAATATCAAACATAAATAATCCATCATATTTGTTCTTTAAAGATGCTCAGTTATAAACCTTAATGTTGTTCTGTGATTGGTTAAAATCATCTTTCATTCTCGTAATTTGCTGTATGGCTTTTAGGGCTGAATATCTTTAACAAGTTGCCAATAAGCCACAATATGATACAAGTCTTGATACAGTGAGCTTTCGATTCGATACGATATATTTCAAATGTATTCGATTATTTGTTCAATAAAAAAATAACATGGCTGTGCTACTAAAAGTCTTAAACTAAAACTTAAACTTAAACTACTTCTTGTGCAAAGTGAATTTAAAACACACACATTTTAATCAAAACAGTGAATATAGCAAATGTTCTGAATCAACAAGTTTCCTTCCTCTAAACATGCAACAAACCTGTAGCACTGTAACAAAATAATTGAGTAAAATATACCAAAAAATACTCTTGGGGATATATATCGATACAGCAGCTCACGATATCAGTACTGTATCATCACTTTAAACTAGGAGTGTAACGATATTCAAGTCTCACGACACGTTATCGTCACAGTATGAACCTCATGATATTTTGTGGAGGCTAACAAAACTATTAATACGCTACTTTTTCCTCTTAAAATGCCTTGACAAGACTTAATCTAAAGAACTAAGACTTAAAAGTATTTAGAACTGTTATTTCTTCTTGTAGTCTGCACTGAAATGGAGCAAAGGATCATGGTCTATGTAGTTCCCTCTGTCTTTTTTAGCTATTGCTGTACTATAACTCTTAATTTAAGCAAAGCGACTTGTAATTCAATATATTCTGATGGACCACGATATTATTGTGAGAACTTTGACGATACGATATCACGATATTTCTGTTACTGCTACATCCCTACATTCAACGATACGATATATTGATATTTTTGCTCACCCCTTATGGTTTCAGTTTTAGATTGCCATTATCATCCTGCCATCAATAATTTTTTTCCCAAAGCCTAGCATATATATCTATACTCTAAATATGTATAGAAATTTTTAAACTTTTTCTGATCCTTTTCTGTCCCAAAATCCAATGGCAAAAATCCAATGGCAGTCACTCCAGCAGAGGAGATTCTTTTAGTCATATGCAAACCTGGTGTTGAAACGCCAGAGGTGCCATTTTGGGCCATAAAGCGCAGCGGCTGCAGTGGAAATGACTGAATTATGGTGCGACTGGGCTCCGGAGCAGGTTTCCATCTGACTACACACTGAGAGCAGTTTGCACACGCTCACTTGGCTCACAGCAGGAGTTTATAAGACTTATTTCATACTTTTGTTTCACTTACATTTGAAATATATTTTTCCATTTGGAGCCAGTGCACAGATGTCAGAACTACTTACAGTCAAGAACCAGTTTAAAACATGGCCAAGAACTGAAAGGAAGTGAATTTAAACAAGTTAATGTGTGAGATGATGGCATAATCAGAAATGAGGCAGAATTCAATATCAAAATAATAGAGAGGAGAGAAAACCATTATAGTTCCATCATGTCTCACTACCACCAGTTCATCGCATTTTATGAAACTCCATGAGATATAATATAACACAATCTTTTCTACATCCAAACTGGACCCAGGCCATGGTTCTCGACCGGAAAAAGGTGGTTTGCCCTCTCCAGGTGGGTGGAAAGTCCCTGCCCCAAGTGGAGGAGTTCAAGTATCTCGGGGTCTTGTTCACGAGTGAGGGGAGGATGGAGCGTGAGATTGACAGGTGGATCGGTGCAGTGTCGGCAGTGATGCGGTCGCTGTATTGGACATTTGTGATGAAGAGATTTACTGGTCAATCTATGTTCCTCCATTCACCTCTGGTCATGAGCTCTAGGTAATGACCGAAAGGATAAGATTGCGGATACAAGCGGCCGAAATTAGTTTCCTTCGCAGGGTGGCTGGGCGCTCCCTTAGAGGTAGGGTGAGGAGGTCAGTCACACAAGAGGGGCTCGGGGTAGAGTCGCTGCTTCTCCACGTTGAGAGGAACCAGCTGAGGTGGCTCAGGCATCTGTTCAGGATACCTCCTGGTCTCCTCCCTCGGGAAGTGTTCTGGGCATGTCCCACCGGGAGGAGGCCCCGGGAAAGACCCAGGACACGCTGGAGGTCTCTTGGCTGGCCTGGGAACGCCTTGGGGTCCCCCCGGAGGAGCTGGAGGAGCCCAGTTTAAAGGAAGCTTGGGAGTCCCTGCTTAGATTGCTCCCCCCGCGACATAAGCGGGATAAGAGGAAGAAAATGGATGGCTGGATGGAACTGGACCCATACCTCCTGTGGTGTTAAACCTAGAGAATTCATATTATCCCAGAAGAGGCTGGCATAATGTCGTCTGTCTTTTCCCAATGGGCTGTACTTGATCATATTACTAACATGCAGGAAATTGGAAGTTTCTAGGCTAGTTTAAACATTCAGATGCAGGGTACAACCATGCCCATATCAGCTACAGTTTCCTGAGCAATTAAGCCAAATACAATCACAGAATCATTAGTTAACGTAATAGATTTTGTGTTTACATTTTTATGTTTTTATGTTTTGTTTAGGCAAGGCGAGTTTATTTATATAACACAATTTGTACACAAAGCGATTCAAAGTCCTTTACAGAATAAGAAAGGCATTAAAATCGCAGTACAAACAAATCAAAACATAAATAATCATCATAAAATTAACATTAAAAGAGCAGAGAGAAGAGTGTGGAATAAAAACCTTTTGCCACCAGATCCAATATGGCTTCAGCTGGTGTCAGTTGTTATCCTTAGAAGTACCTGTAATGTGGATGTGTTTTCTTGACACAAACGCCCCCTTTGTGCTAATTGTCCTCGTGTTACATGGATGTGAACACTTTAAACCAGGCCTGTAGTGCTTAGAAGACCTTGCAGGTGCAGATAGTAAGGCCACACGGCTCCACACCTGCAGAGCTCCCATTATAAATCACATGAACGAGAAGTGAGTGCACCGCATTCATCACCACAAAGCCCGACTTCTGTGTGCATGCAGAAATAGGCTCTGTTTGTGTGTTAGTAGGGCACGAGAGCGCAGGTCCTATGATCAGAATTAACTGGAAATGTTAATGTCCTGGTGGTAATGGGCTTTTATCATATGAAAAAAAAAATCTAGCTACAGTCATTTTCAGTCATAATTTAAGCAAAAACATCTGTACTTAAAGGTGGACTGTGTAATTTCTAAGGTGCAGGGTCCACTACTAGATGTTATTTCTTAGCCTAGAATGTTCCACAGTAGGGCATTAAAATGATCTCCCTTCCATTTTTTCAATTACAGGTGTCTTATAGTTCAAAAATATCTAAAAAACATTAATTCTCACTAGGAATGTAACAATATCCTAATCTTTCTGTAAGATATTTTCGCGATATGCATCTCACGATATGATTTTAATTGTGATATTTTGTTTGTTTCTGTCATAAACCAAAGACTTAAGATTTAAAAGTGCTTAATAAGTTATTTCATTGTGTAAATTGGACTGAAACACAAAGGGAACTACATCGACCACGATTCTTTGCTGTTTCTTTTAGCTATTGCTGCGTCATAATAGTGAATTTAAGCACAGACACTTGAGATTTGATATATTGTGAGGTCTCACGATATTATTGAGAGACTTTTGATGATACGCTATCACGATAATTTCACTATTGTTACATATTGTTACTAATTCTTACCATATGCAGGCTTGCTTCTCCATAGATCTGACCATTAACTTGTCTCCATTGTGATTAACAAGTTCATTTCCATGTAACGATATCCAAATCTCTCTGTACGATATTATCACGATATGCATCTCACGGTACGATATTTATTGCGATATTTTGGAGAGGCAGCAGATGGGACGCTTTTTTGCTTTTAAAATACCCTGACAAGATTTTGGTGTGAATTATTTCCGTCATAATACCAAGAATTCAAGTAAAAACACATTTCTTCTTCTTTTCTATGCTTAAATGAATCATGGGATATGTAGTTTCCAATGTTTATAAGCTGTTGCTACTATAAAACAATGCATTTAAGCAAAGGATTTTGTAATTGGATATATTGTGACAGCCCACGGTATTATTGTGAGACTTTTGACACTACAATATCACGATATTTCGGTTATTGTTACATCCCTACAAAACAGTGCACCTTTAAATTAATTTATCACACTAGTATTAATTACTGGCTAGTATCTCTTTTAATGCACTCACCAATGATAATGATATGATAATAATTAATTTTAGTCATAAATAACTGTAATTAAAATGAGCATTTTCATAAAAGCTTTGCAGAATCCAAGAATGTTACTTTTACTTTTTCTAGTTATAAAGAATCAAGGTACAATATGTTCTCTGGGGCTGAACATGATTAAATATATTCCATTAATTTTATAGCAAACCGACCTTCATTTCGAGAAAAACAAGAAAATAAGCTTCTTAACAAAACAATAATTCCATAAGCTGAACAGATAGATATAAAAAATAGAATGATTGACTCACAGCTAGTACTTCAAGCATCAAGGGAGTACTGTGAACATCCGATTGGGCTCAAGTACTACTCGAAAACATTTCCTAGTCATAAAATCTCACACGCAGAAAAGTCAGACATTATAAATTCAGCCCTTTATTCAGAGCAGATCTATGGAAATGCCTCTCCGTGGAAAACAAACTCTCGACTGGCAAATGAATAGATCTGAACTGTAATTTGAAGCGAGCAGGAGAGCCACGGTTTTATTACACGCAATCTTCTTTCCCCTGCGAGACTTTGAAGACGGTGGTGCCACTGAGGAGCCCCGTAACTAGATCATGGCCAGTTCTCGGGGTCAGGGTTCACCTTAATAAAGCCCCCTGCCTCTCAGTATTGGCGCTCGGGGGTGAGCTCATTTCATTTAAGAGCCGTGGGGGTCACATGGAGCAGGGAGAAGATGACATGAGTCTTCAGATGGCACAGCTTCATATGAGGGTAGAAAAACTCATCACAACATCACTACACATCTCTGGGGGAAAGGCATGGCTCTCATAGCTTTGAGTCTGAATGAGGCTTGGTCATTGCAGTGGAATCTAACCTACGGCTATTGCGAGGTGCTGTCCAATTCTTTTATATTGTGAAAAGTGCTCAAAATGGCAGCTATAACCAAAATCCGAAACCCATTAATACTGGGATACTGATTACATGTTTCTGTGTGCAAGTTATGCCAGACATACATTACACTGTGCGATATTTTCAGTCGTTTCACCCAGCCGCAGCTCAGATTGTATGACCAAATGACAGGGTTTAAAAGTTCACAGCTCACGATTCATGTTCTCACACTAAACGATCTGATGCTCAGTGCGAAACCCTTACCATAGGCGAAGGGATTTCAAACAGGTTTGATATTCTTGCGACCTACGATTGCCGATCAGGAGCTGGTCGTGAGGTATTAATCGGTTCTTGTTTTCCCATGTTTACTACACGAAGCACGACACATGATTAAGCCAAAACTCACACAGTGTACATCCAGCTTTAAGGATCTGTTTGAATTTCATCAAACAACTATAATGTTTGACTTAAAGACATTTGAAGGCAGAAGCTTGGAGACTCGCACATGTTTGAGTAATTCTTTATAATTAGTCTGTCTACATCTCCAAAGACCAAAATAAGTAAAAACACAACTCCAGGTCTGTTTTTGGTGAGGAAACAGCATTATAACATAAATCTAGATCAGGACTAAACCAGGTCTAGAGCAGGGCCAAATTGACGTATTTTTCGGATTATAAGGTTTACTTAAAATCCTTTAATTTTCTCAATAATCGACTTTATGATCCAGTGTGCCTTATGTATTAATTCTGATTGTGCTTAATGACCTCAAACCAATTTTATCTGGTACACGACGCCCAAAAATCTGTCCAAATGTTTTAGTACGACTTTGGTAAGATACGAAGCCGCACTGCTTGAGGGATTGTCGGAGATTTACGGCTACCGTAGTCAGGAGCCTCATGGAGTTGTGTCCGTTAGTCCGACAGAAGCTGACCGCATCAGCGCACAGTAGTTATAGTTATATAGTTTATGCAAACAAGCCATATGGTTTTAAGTTTTATTTCTGTAAAACATAAACAAATGTGCGCAAAGCTGCATTAAACAGATTATTACTCAATGTATATTTGAGTCCTCCTCCTGGGAAATTAAAAAAACAAACTTAATCCACCCACATTCACATTCATAATACACATTCACCAAGACAGGGAGGCGACGCCGGGCGAATTACACCACGATCTGCCAATGGATCGTGGAACGCCTGGGCTAAGGGATCAGTCTCAAGTGTCATCTGTTTGTTTCACTTAATACATCTTATAATCCGGTGCACCTTATGTATGAAAATAGAAGAGAGAATTCAACATGATTGATATTGCACCTTATAATCCGGTGCGCTTTATAGTCAGAAAAATATGGTAGTCTCTAATCTTGATTAAACTTGGCTCAAACCAGGATAAAACCAAACTAGCACAAGATGCGGATACTTACTGCAGAAAAATTATTAAAAGTGTTCTAATATCAAAATGCTATTCACCACATTCAGTATGTAAAGAAAATGAAATTAGATATTAATTAAATGTCTAAATGAAATTCAGAGTAATTCAAGCAACTATATTTCTTATCTCTTCCCACCTGCCAATTGCTGTCAGTCAATCACACCCGCCCAGACAGCCAACTATCAAGCCATTCACATGCATACTCTTATATTCTTTTTGTGGAAACTGTCAAACTCCTCATCCTCTCCATAGTCTCTAGAGTGAAATCCGTCATACTTTGTATCACTGACTTTTTTATTATATAGGCTGTACGTGTGTGGTCTGGAAATTACCACTGTTGACTGTATAGGGCAGACATTCTTGAACATTTTAACCATATACACACACAAGCTGAATTTGACTGACGTAACAATAACACACTTCTACATCACACCTGTACATGCTGGTTGACATGCAAAGTTTGTATCACTACTCAGGAAAAATACTTGAAAGTCAATATTCTACTTGTCCAACTTGTCAAATACTTACCACTTTTTGTAGCCTCTCAAGTCTTCATTTGCTCCTTGATAGATGCAGTGTTTCTAGTCAGAACCTTAATGGCATCAGGAGCCAAGCCACTCTGCCAGCACAGGGGCTATTACCAGGATAATTACAACATCGTTTGGAGTTAATAGAAAGTTAAGAGATAATTTTCAGAGCGCTGCTTCTTATCGTGGTAATACTCGGGGACACCTTGGTTCTCAAACTGCTTTTTTTAATCTTTTCGCAGGTGAAGAGGAACACCTGGGGGACCACCAAGTACATGGAGCTGTACATAGTGGCAGACAATACGCTGGTAAAAAATACTTCATTTTCAATATATTAGAGAAACAGATCATTCACTTATTGGCGTTTGTAGGCAGATATTAAAATGTAAATGAGTTAGATATAGGGATTAAAGGAGCACTATGTTTTCAAATGGGGGGTCTGCTACTGTGGAATTGATGCCTATCTGTGTAACCTGCTCCTCTGACCACTACCATAACACTTGTGCACACACCACTTTTATATTAAACAATGTTGTGAAGTGTCTTGCATAAGGACACAACGATAAGTTTTTGTCACTGGCCTTAAAATTTAAACGAAAACTTACAATCCTATCCAATCCAACTTTTTTACCAACTCAAAGTCTCCAAAGTGCTGCACAGATTAGGAACAATATAAATTAACACATTAAATTCAATAAAGCATAAAATATATAAATACGTAAGTCAATAAAATAAAAAATAAAATAAAATAAAATTGGCAAATATAAATCAATAAAAGACAGTCAGAGGACCACACAATTCTCACGCCGTGTTAAAAACTGGTGAGTTAAAGTGTGTTTTTAAACAAGAGTCTGAATGTGAGGGGGGAGAGTTTTCCAAAGTTTGGGGCCAACCACAAAAAAGGCCGGGTCACCCAAGGGTCACCCCATGCTCACCCTAGCCTGATTCATCAGCTGGTTTCACTTTGTAGGAACTGTCTGATCTCCCAGCATTAGGATTCATTCGCTTGACAGTAGGCGGGTATTTTTTTATTTAACCAATCGCTGCTATGTGGTCGTGACGTATGTAATGCACCAAATCTCATAAGAAGAAGGCTAATAACATCTGTCTCCTTGATAAAATTCACCAAACATTCTCTTTGTTCCGGCTTTAAATCCTCGATCTCGGGAATCGTTGCCAACACAAAATGTATAGCTTCGTCTACATCCATCTCGACCACTTTGTTTACTGTTGTGCTGTTCCACAAAAGAGACCAGACAGGCGCTTGAGTTTGACATCATGGTTTCACAGCTCTTCACTGATTGGCCGGGGCACGGTCTACAACTTCTGGGGTTCTTGCACACCCTCTAGTTTATTCCGATTTCTGACCTAGTCGGTGGGGAGAAATTAAATTGAGCTGAGGCACCAGGTGGCTTTTGAGCCTCGTTTTTGGGACAAAAAGTTGGAGGTGGCCCTCAGTCCCCAGAGCGCACAAAGGAGTGCAGAAACAATGAGGTCTGAACTGTACATTGGGGCCAGTCCATGACGTGCCTTGAAAACAAACAATACAATTTTTAAATCAACTCTAAAATGAACGCGGAGCCAGTGTAATGAGGATAAAATAGGTGTTATGTTTTCTCTACGTCATGTGCCAGTTAAAAAACGTGCTGCAGAATTTTTGACTTATCTAACAAGCATTTATATTGCTCAAAAATACCCTCTTACAGTGAGTGCTGTCGCCTCTCCACAGATCTAACCAGAAACTGAGTGACAAGGCGCCATCTACTCTTTGTCTTTGTGGAGAGAGATAAATTTAGTGCCATACTGTGAAACATTTCAGGCAACGCAACAAAATCTCCAAGACAAGCTGGTGGTATAGGAGGCCCTCCACCCAAAATGTTAGACTTAGACAAACTTTATTGATCCATAGTGCACCTTTAAAAACCAGTATAAAACACTATATGCATTTTTAGGAGGCTGTTGGACAGTGGCCTCTAAAAATGATGGTCTATTGTAAAAAGTGGTTTAGTGTTGCGCGTTGTGATTGTTGCTTGGGGCACAGCAGAATGGGTGATTTGATTGGTACTTGTGTTTTGTGTTGGCAGCGGCGCATCATCTAAAAGGAACCACTTAACTTGTGCCCAAAATTTTAGCGGTGCCCTTTAGTAAGCTCTTGTTTTTGAGGCTGATTGCTGAGATACATTTTTGAAAGAAAGCAAAATTGCGCAGCTGAATAATCTTATTTGTTTCTAATTTGTTTTGGACTAGTAGTGCGCATGAGGTACTTTTGAGGCTTCACTATGAAATTGCGAATTCTACCTTCTCCTTCAAGAAAATAATCAATAAATCGTCACAAGTATCTTTTTTCAAATTGAATTTTAAGTTGTTCTTTTGGATGTGAAGCACTTTTAGAGTTGTGTTTCTAAAGTGGCCCTTCACTACAATATGCATTAGCCCGCTCGTCCATCATAGGGGCTATTACCAACCCTATATTTGAAATCTCATGTACAGTACACCCGTCTTCTCTGACGTCTACCTGTCATGCTTCATTTGCCATTAGACTGAAATAAACCCCATCTCCGTCACCAGCATAAACGCCATGGTAACAGTCCACAGTAGCCATAAAGAGTGGCTTTATGTAATTGGTGTAATTGCATTGATGGACTAAAGACATAATGGGGCTGTGGGTAATTCATCTTCTGTAGAAAAAAAAAAAAAAACTTTGAAAAGATTTTACTCTTGTGTGTTTATCACTAATGCGTTCTTCTCTCTCTTTTCACAGTTTAAGCGTCAGAATAAGGACTATGAGAAAACCAAGACCAGGATAATGGAAATTGCCAATTACGTGGATAAGGTGAGGCTGATGGTTTCACCGCTACTGCAAATGGCCAAAGTCAACAAGATAATGGGCAATGCCGGGCGGGATCACACGTCTCAATGTGGTCCATTACTGATCTCCTCTGCTTTGTGTTTCAAACAAGTGATTAGTGCCTGAGACCGAGGCTGGCAAACTCGCCCGCGCGATACAAGAGTGAAACAGCAAGGATAATTGGAATTCTCTCTTTCTATAGCTTTCAATACAGTTTTCTAGGTCATTTAGGACTCTGACTCGACTTCATTGAATGCTTACACACCCACACAACAACCTAGAATAATTTCGTATTTTCAATATGTTATGTTATTTCTAATGTTGCATTATAGTTATAATAAATAAACCCAAATCTATGTGTTTCCTGCCCAGTTCTACAGAGCTCTGAACATCCGCGTGCCTCTGATCGGTCTGGAGGTGTGGACGGACAGAGACCAGTGCATCGTGAATGAGGAGCCCAACGCCACACTGTGGTCCTTCCTCCAGTGGAGACAGAAGCTCAAGTCTCGCAAGAAACACGACAACGCACAACTGCTCACGTAAGGACAGCCTGCTCTACATGCTCATCAGGCACAGCACCATTAGTCTGCCATGGCTCCTAAACCAGCTTTAGCTCTGTGTTGGTATGAATCATTTGGAATGTAATGACAACAATGCCCTTGTGCTATGAGACTTTGTTTAGCTTATTTTTCACACAATATTCTTCTCCAGGAGAACATAAATCCCTTTCACACAGGCTTTTATCCCGAGGAGTAAATATCCCTGTGGCAGGTGTGACCTTGGTCTCACTTCAAAGAAGTCCTTCTCAAAAGGGCTGTTTAGACACTAGCACTAGACATTTGCATGCTCTTTTCTTCAAAGTGTGCATTAGGACATTTGTTTGACAAGTTATTTTTTGTGCAGCTTTGTTTTTTAGTTACTCTGGTGTATTTTTAACATAAGAAAGATCTGGTACTAGACATTAGCCTGTGTGTCCTGCAGTGAGATGCTGCATTATTACAAAACATTTAGAACCAACATATTCTTTTGTTTAAAAAGGCTACATTGGATTTCAGAAAAGGGCTACAAGGACAGTTTTATAAGCATCTAAAAAATGTTTTCCTTTTCTTTATACTCACTGTTTTGTGCTTGAACTAGCTTGAACTCTGTATAGTTCGATATTCAAGGTCTCCAAGCAGGGATATACCAGACAAAGCATATACAGACTCTGCTAAATCCATCCATCCATATCTCTGAAAATAGTGCTGTTTTATTCAAATATTACTCAGAGTTACTTTTGTTTATTTCAGCCAGTTTTCTAAAAATGTCAATTTTGCACAATATAGATTATTTGGCCTAATTGTGTTTGGAGAAACCCAAGTGAGCACCCCCCTGTGAGATGAAATGCTCCTTTTATAGTTCTTAGTGAGTTTGACATGATCAGGACATTTATACCTTTACATGCTCCTGCTGCTACACCGTTTGGCCTGGGTTGTGACTCCCAATTACGGAATTCCCCTGAGATGCACAATCCCCTGAAATAATTTTCATGAATCTTTACACAGAGATGTTACTGAGCTAAAGATGCACTTTTAGCTCGTCCTAATTGGGCCCAACACAGCTGGACTCCAGTGCACACAGACATCCAGGCATCCGCCGCAGTCAATTGGTGGCCCCTGATGTTCTCTAATTAGCCTTGCTTATACCAAATGGCCCGGATAATTTAACATGCATGGAAACAGATATGATTTGGTGACAGGAATAGAGTGCCCTCCTCTAACCTGTGCATCCTGGAAAAATAATGCAAACTAAAATTACTTTGATGTTGATTTCTATGATAATTGTGCTCGGAAATATATAATTTACCAGTTGAAAATAAATAAACGTTACAATAAGCAACAGAAAAATTCAATAACAGGCCATAGTTAGTCAGGAGGATGGTTTAATTTCACCAAAACTATTCACAGAACATTTTTTAAATCACCTGTCTTGTCTTGTTCAAAATAATGTGTTTTTAGCGGGGTGATCTTCAAAGGTACGACTATTGGAATGGCGCCGCTGGAGGGAATGTGCAGCCTGGAAAACTCTGGAGGCATCAATGTGGTACGTGGACCATCTATCACTTGTACTGCCAAATCAATTCACGGGCAAAGTCTCCAAAGGACTTTTCTGCAGCCTGTCCTCAGAGACACGCTGATGGAGCTTCTGATTTAGGCCTGAAAGTAGCTCCAAAAGCCAATCTCAAGTGGCTCAATTTAAAGTTTGTACTCCTAAATGCATATATGTTTACAACTATGTGGAAATGCACTGCAGTAAAAGACATTGCGAAAATACGTAAATGCTAAACAGACACCACTGCTGCTATGTAATGACAGGAATTATAATACCAGTTGCATTATTAGGCATTTTTAGGCATTTTTCATTGTTTGACCTTGATAATACAATACAGTACAAACTTCATACACCTTTACTAGAATCATTTGGATAATTTCAGCCCTGGAATTGCCAATCTCTGCTGAACAAAAGGTAAAAAGACACTGTTAACTTGAGAAATACTGCTTCATGACATCACAAGGTAGAACAGAGCATTAACATCTTTGGAGGTGTAGACAGACTAATAATAATAAAGGATTATTCAAATGTGTGAATGAAATAAAACACAACTCCGGGCATGTTTTGGATGAGGTTACAACGTTCTCACACAGTGTTTCCCAAACTTTTTATTCTGGGGACCCATATTTTAAAAGTCGCAAATCTTTGCAACCCAAGTCAATAGATGTTATTTGTAAATCATAAAATAATAAAGGTGGATTTGACCATTATTAAACATTAATGAGGATATTTTATTGTTGACTGAGTGATCGTGTCTCTCTGAATAATTAGTATTACTCAAGTTTTAAACAATGAAAAACAGTCACTGAAGCAGCAATAAAAGGATCCATAAGTCGCCTATTTGGACAATAAATGTATCCCATTTCTTTTTCTTTTTAACATTCAATTGAACCAGCAATATTGGAACAAAATTGTTAATAAAATAATTACAAAAAAGATTAGAAATTACACAAAACATGTCTTAACATTTCAACATGAGTCAGAGTCATGCAGATTGTGACAAGGCGATCTAAAAAAAATCTCTTGCGACCCACCTGATGGTCACGACCCTTTGGGAAACAATGTTCTAACATGATTAAAAGCTCACAAGTACATTTTGTGAAAAATATGACCTTTAACAGTAGGTAAAACTGAGGTTTGAATGCGACTTGTTAAGAGGTGTGAATTTACTAAACCAATTGAAGAATCAAATTCTGCAATTGCTTAGGCACTAGGGGTCTGCAAAAATATCAAAATATCGATATATCGTATTGTTTAATGTGATGATACAGTATCGATATCAAGGGCTGCTGTATCGATATATCACCAAGAGTATTTTTTGGTATATTTTGTTAAATAATTTTGTTATAGCACCACAGTTTTGTTGTTTGTTTAGAGGAAGGAAACTTGTTTATGCAGCACATTTGACATTTTCACTGTTTTGAGGAGTAAAATGTGTTTGTTTCATATGAACTTTGCACAAGAAGTGGTTTAACAAAGACTTTTAGTGTCACAGCCCGTGATGTAGACATTATTTTTTATTGAACCGTATCAAATCGATTTGAAATATATCGTATCGTATTGTAAGATCACTGTATCGAGATATGTATCGTATCAGCAACATCTTAATGATATCCAGCTCTATTAGACTCAGTATGAAATTTTTCTTGTGGTGGGTTCACTGTCTGCTTGTCTCCTTCACTATCATATTGCTTTGCCAGTAATTTTCAACACACAAGTTATAGATCAGATCTTTAAAGAAGCGAGCCCAGAGCCCACTCACAGTAAAGGCCAAATTATAGTTCTGTATCAACTCAATGCTCACTGCTGCTGTCGCCTTATCATCGTCGTTTTTGATTTATGGATCTGCGTCGAGGTCTTCAAGCTATTCTCGAGAAAGGAGAAGCACGTAGACTACAAACTCACATCGTTATTTTGTCACGTACCCATCTCTTCTTTATAAATCCCCATCACTTTTCTTTTTCTTATACCACTTAACAATGACACAAACTAACTCTTTAGCTCTTTAGTCTAACTTTAGTGAAAAAGCTTATCAGGAGAGCGATGTTCCAGTGCCTGAATGAAAGCGTGCAGGCTCTTATCCACAGTGCACAGTGTTTGAAGTGTATGAATGATGTCAAATGGGTGTTTAAAGGTGAGGCAGAGGAGAGCAGCTGGCGTCCCTGTTCTGGAGGTACTACTCAGTCACACTGCTACAGTACGCACGGCTCTGCTTTGATCCACGGAGAGCTGTCAGTCACTCACATCGCTGAATTATGCATGTGCGCCGCAAATATCTGAAGTGCCTCCAAAATCTTCAAATGTGTGCAGGGATGTGGGCTGTACAGAGAGGCAGCCGTTAAAATTAAAGGTGAGGTGTTTATGCTGTAAACGAACATGAATGAGAGTTCTAGAGGTTTTGAGATATTCCTGGTGTAATCGATTTTAAGCCACAGTTGGATCCACAAGGTTTTGCCTTGTTTCATTCATTTGATTTCTCTTGTGAATTCAAGGTTTTGGTGGTTATTTTGGTGGTAGTTCGATTTTGGAATTTTAGATAAGGTTTGGTTCTGTTTTTTAGTGTCCTACATATCAGATTTGTTTTATTTATATTATATTTTGAACATAAACATTTAAATAAATGTCTAACCTGCTAGTCATGTTCCAAATAGCACAGGGGTGTCAAACATACGGCCCGGGGGCCAGATCCGGCCCTCCAAGACCTTTAATCTGGCCCTCGGCTGATTTTCTACTAAAATACTTTAATTATATTTTCTATTCAAATCTTGGTAATTTTCTGAGGTGCTGAGCATAGCAGCGTCTCCAGCTCCTCTGTGCATGGACAACTCCCACCAGAGCAGCACAAATGAAGACTTGGCTCTTTCCAAACGCTCTTAAAGGACGATCGTTTTGACTGTTGACCGTGACAACCTCATCAGCAAAATGTCAAAAATGAGAAAAGTGGACACCGAGTGCAGGATTTTGCAAGAAAAAATTGACTTATTCCTATTTGCATACAAGTTAATGTTAAAACATTGAGTTGAAATTGCATTTTTCTTAAAGTTTCAGGTTGTTCATAATATAATATTTTGTAAAAGAAAGAGTTCATCAATTAAAAAAGATTTCTGTAATAGATTTGTGTTTCTCTGCACAAATATTTGAACTTATTGTTATTTTTGGGGTTTATATGACATGAGTTTTCTGATCTGGCCCCTTTGGATCAAAGTAGGTTGGATACGGCCCCTGGACCAAAATGAGTTTGACATGTCTGAAATAGGAAGTGAACATCGGGATGCTTCTAAAGCCATCGACTCCAGTTCACTTCGTATTAAAAAATGTTGTCCCTCTCTCCAAAACTGCTGCTGTCTACATTTTCCTGGTGTTTTTATTTTACAATTTTGTCCGTAAGTCAATTCCTACTCCTAATATAAAACTCAGCTCCAAGACTGCCAACCTTGGGTGACGTCAAATTCCCTTTGTCACTTCTTTATATGATTTTAAACTTTTTCCTTGCTTTGTGTTAGTCCCATCTTTTGGATTAGATAAAAAGACAAATCCTCCTCCGGGTGGGGTGACCAGATGAAGAATTTGGGACGGTGCTTTTTTTGTTTTTAATGTGTGTCATTCGTTCATTCATTTTTCAATATAAAACCAAAAATAAGAAACTGAAAAAAAAAAAAAACTATTTTCTTCATTATTTGTCTCCAAAACCAAAATGACAAAACTGATAAAGATTCGTTTTTTTGTATTTAAATTCCTGTTTCCGTGATTTAAACTGTGATGCCGGACTGAACTAGGACTAAACTGGTCTGGTCCCGGTCATAGCCCCATTCTCAATCACGGTCTGGTCCCAGTCTGGTCTCGGTTTCAGTCCTGCTCTGGTCCTGGTCTCAGTCCCGGTCTCATTCCTGGTCCAATCCCGGTCTCTGTCCTAGTCTGGTCCCTGTCTCAGATCTGATCCTGTTCCCGGTCTCAGTTCCGGTCTCATTCCCGGTCTCAATTCTGGTATGGTCCCAGTCTCAGTTCCGATCTCAATCCTGGTCCTGTTCCCGGACTCAGTTCCGGTCTCAGTCCCGGTCTGGTCCCGGTCTCAGTCCCGGTCTCACTCCTGGTCTGGTCCTGGTCTGGTCCCGGTCACAGTCGAGGTGTCAGTCCTGGTCCTGTACCTGGTCTTAGTCCTAGTCTTCGTTTCTGGTCTGATCCCGGTCTCAGTTCCGGTCTCAATCCTGGTCCTGTTCCCGGTCTCAGTCCTGGTTTCAGTTCTGGTTCAGTCCTGGTTCAGTCCGGCATCACAGTTTAAGTCATGGAAACAGGAAACGTCCGTTATCCGTTTTTTCCATTATTCATTTCAACACAAAATCGAAAACTGAAAAAATGAATCATTATCTGTTTTTTCATTTTGGTTTTGGAGGCAAATAATGAAGAAAACAGTTGTTTTTTCATTTTCTTATTTTTGGTTTTATATTGAAAAACAAATGAATGAATGATACACGGATTTGCTTTGTTTTGGGTTTTTTTTTATTTATTTCAAACCTGTCATAAACATATTTTTATTCAAAGATCAAGTCTTTCATTAATATTTCTGCCACAAGAAAACAACATAATATTCATGAACTCAAAATGTCATTGTGGAAAAATAACAATGCATTTGTAGCCGGGACTGCACGCAGCCTCTTAGAAGCCGTCAGCAGCAGTCAGGGCTGCATGCAGTCGATTCAACCTCCCTACCAACACTTTTTAATGTTTATCAGAAAATAACTGCTCAGTATTCTGTTTGAGTGTAATTTTTGGGACATTTAGGGACAGATTTTGGATTCGGGACAACAGTTTGATTAGATTTTCGGACTGTCCTGAATTTTTCTGGACGTCTGGTCACTCTGCCTCCAGTCCAGGTTAGAGTCAGATTTGTGTAGATGCAAGCCTGCTCACAGTAAGAACGCGTGTGTTAAGTTCAGTTTAAACATCATAAAACATACACGCTTTTATGTTTACCTTAAAGGGACAGTTCAGAATTTTGGACATAAGACCTCATTTCCTAGTGAGCTAGAGTGTTGGAGACGTGTGGAGACACTTTTTTAAATATTCCATCCAGTCCTTGTATTTGCAGAGGTCGCTGGTCTTAGACTAGTGCATGTCAATGGCCATAGTTATCCTGCCACTAAACACAGTCTTACCCACTCCACAAAACACCCGAATCAAATCTGTTATTATGCCAGACTGTCGATGTAAATGTCTGTGTTGATAGAATAATTTTAGAAGTAAAACCAACTTTGCATTTGAAGGATTTATGTCTGAGCAGCAGCAGTGGGTTGTACTTCCCATGGATCTATTAAAATAAGTGGATAGGATGTTGCTGCTTGTAGCTGCCTCCACTCACTGGAAATTCAGCGGAAAAAATCCCATGGGCTGAGACAGGATTTTTCTCATAGATCACAATGTAACCACAAACTGCTCGTGTTCGTCTGAGGGGCACCTACAACTTTCAAAAATGTCGGATTTGTTGGCGATTTTTACCTATTTTTAGATCATAACCTTTTTCTCAGCTCAAAACCCTTCAGTTGTCTTAAAAAACGCTTTATGATCATTAGCTCTGGTGACACTCTGCTCTAGCTCCTCTCGCTCCGATTGGTCAAAGCGATCACGTGATACACGAGCCCGTGCTCCGTCCGTGCCGCCCGCGGGAGAAAAGAGCACTACTGCACATGCTCAATTTGCCCACAGCCACCGGAAGTACCTCGCCGGGCTAAAAGCGAATCTGGAGTCTTGCGCCATTGAGCTTGGCCCATTGACTTGAATGGGCGGTCTTGTTGAAACCCCGGGGCTTGATGCTTCCTGATAGAAAGTTTGGCAGCAGCGGACTGATATATGAGAAAATAGTCCCTCAACATGCGACGATTTATGCGATGCAAAGTTAGTTTTATTTCAAACATTATTATATCAACACAGACATTCACATCGACAGTCTGGTGTAATAATAGTTTTGCTTCAGGTGTTTTGTGGAGTGGGTAAGACTGTTTTTAGTGGCAGGATAACTATGGCCATTGACATGTGCGACCTCTGCAAATACAAGGACTGGATGGAATATTTTAAAAAGTGTCTCCACACGTCTCCAACACTCTGGTGCACTAGGAAATGAGGCCCTGTGTCCAAAATTCCGAACTATCCCTTTAACATTTCCGCAGTAAGGCTTTGAATTCTAATTTCTTCTTTCATCACTGTAGCTCTTCTTTAGAGCCCCTCAGAGCAGTGTAGCAGCAGGGGAGAAGGGGTTAAACCACAGATGCTTTAGATTCAGGAGACCTCTTCTGTCCAGCCGCGCTCACTATCAGGAGCTAATCAGGCCTGGATAAACTATCGATCTTTGTGGTCACCTCCATCCACACCTGTCCTGCTCTCACAGCCTCCAGACCGCTCTATCCTCTCTGCAATACTGCAACTCTGCTACGGCTGACTTATATCATCTTTTTATCTATGTGAGTTTATATTGTAATAACATTTTTGTTCTGAATGTCAACATAATATTATGTTTCAAAAGTCAGTATTATTCTGAAAAATGGAAAATAGAAAGCTGCAGATATGCCAAAATAAACAATACGCTTAAAATGGCAAGGAAATATGGTTGCATAAATAAACTAAAAGCCGTTTTCTATCAGGGCTCTGGCATTATCTCGCTACAAAAGAGATGTTGGTAAACACAGGCTCCGCAGTTCTCCCTTTCATTACCTCCACAATGAAACCATCAACTACATTTGACTGGTTTTAAAATACTGCAGATTCAAATATTTTGCATAAATATGTTTTGCTATTTTCACAGACGCCATTTGTGTATGAAAATTACATAAATAACCAATTTTCCAGATAAGACGATTGAGAGGAGCTTTTTTCCTCTTTGTAGTCTTGTTTTTTTATTTAAATCTTATTACAGAGGCAACAAGACCCCTTAGATTTACATGATAGTCGAGTCAAGTCACATGGCGTAAAAACAATACACTATTTTATATCATGATGACATATTACAGACCTGTTGAAGCTGGAGTAATTTCATAAATCCTGTATGTTTTCACTATTAAAACATATTTGAAGTGGAGATAACACACAATTGTACCTGGCATGAAGATATATTTTGCATAACAATAATAATGTCTTTTAGTTTAGCACTTGAAGACATCGTGAGCAGCTCCTAGACCAGAATATATTGCACTGGATAAGCCTCTACTCATACACAGCGCAGTGCAGCCAACATAAACCAAAATAGCTCCTTAAAGACACTTTCCTCAGACAAACATCAGTTGTTTTGATGCCTTAGCTGCCCCAGATTCCACACTCCATTACAACAGACAGTGACTCATCAATCACTATTCTAGTCGAGTTTATCTTAATATTTTTATTCCATGTGTTCATAGGACCACTCGGAGGTGTCCATCGGCGCGGCTGCCACAATGGCGCACGAGATCGGACACAACTTTGGGATGAGCCACGACCACGACGGCTGCTGTGTGGAGGCTACGGCCGAACAGGGGGGCTGTGTCATGGCCGCCGCGACGGGGTGAGATAACTAAACTTCACAAAAACAAACAGCTAAAAAACATGCTCATGGGATAGCAGAGAAAAAATGTAATCACGAGTTTCTTCCTCAAATTATACTAAATTAAATCAATGTGACTATACTTTTTTCTATTTAAAAACAAATAAAATGGCTTTCAATGAACAGAAACAACAGAGACTTAGAATCATAGTCATTTAACACAAACAATAGTCCAGTTTCTTCTTCCAAAACCTAAATTTACATAGGATTGGCTCTAGCTCTTTCTATTAAAAAGACCCAAGATTGACGATTAGAAATGACTGAAATTCTGATTATATAAATTATATAAAATTAAATCAATGTGACTATATTTTGTCTATTTAAAAACAAATAAAATGGCTTTCGATGTTAATCTCCTGAACAAAAACAATACAGACTTAGAATCATAGTCATTTAACACAAAAAACAGTCCAATTTCTTCTTCCAAAGCCTGAATTTACAGAGGATTGGCTGTAGTCCTCTCCATTAAAAAGACCCAAGATGATCATTGAAGATTAGAAATGACAGAAATTCTGATTATATAAATTATATTAAATGAAGGTGACTATATTTTGTCTATTTAAAAACTAATAAAATGGCTTTCAATGTTAATTTCCACAACAGAAACAATACAGACTTAATCATTTAACACAAAAAATAGTCAAATTTCTTCTTCCAAAACCTGAATTTACAAAGGATTGGCTGTAGCCCTCTAAATTAAAAAGGCCCAAGATGATCATTGACGATTAGAAATGACTGAAATTCTGATTAAAATTAGATTAACTGTGCAGTCCTAGTGACCTCCTATCTATTACCAAACAGCACTTGCCAGAAAGTCATAAAATAAAAATGGGTTCAAAACAGAATGTATTGCTCAATTTTAAGATGCTTAATCATTTGGTTTCTGTTCGGGAAAAACTGAGCCTGGAGACAACTCAAGTCTATGAGAGATAAGAAAGTAACTTTTAAACAATAAATAACTCAGTTTTTGAAGTGTTCTATTTATTGTTACGCAGTTTATCATCAGTACTACCATAACGGCTTGACTTATGAATAATCTGTGAAAAGTACACACTTCATGTATTATTAATGTAAGCGAGAACTGACTGTGTTTTGACAACTCTTTTTCCTCTTTTCATTTCCCCTGACTATAAAATCTTAAAAGTGTGTCTCATACTAGAGGCATAAGTCAGAATGACAAATCGCTGCTAACAGTTCCCTGTAGTGTATGGATCTGTATGCCTCGCTATGTTTCATCAAAGCATAAACTAACAGCACAAGTTACAGAGGCTGGTCTGAGAAAAGTGAACATGCCTTCTCCTCAGGCACCCCTTCCCCCGAGTCTTCAGCCGCTGCAGCAAGAGAGACCTGGACAGCTACTTCCAGAAGGGAGGGGGCATGTGCCTCTACAACATGCCCAACATGAAGGACCTGGTGGGGGGCAAGAAGTGCGGCAATGGCTTTGTGGAGGAGGGAGAGGAGTGCGACTGTGGGGAGCCCGATGTGAGTGAAACAACAGAATCCTTGTATACTTAGAGCTGGGAGTGGTTAGAGCAAACAGCTAGAAGGTCCCAGTAGGGTAGGACGATATTATCAACAACTTTTAACACAATATAAAAGAAACCATTTTATATAGTGATGTCAATGACAAAATTTGTGCTTGCTTGTTTTTTCAGTTATATCTATATAGTTTTGTTTCCACACATCACACTTTACCTTTGTCATTATAGAGTTTTTAGCTTCTTTAGAGCCTCCACAGCCAGTGCCTAAAGCTTAAGGCACTCTAAGCTTTAGCAGTAGCAATTAGTCACAATCTCTGTATATATTATCCCAAATTTCATATCATCTCCATAAATATCACGATATATCTCCAACAATATGATATGGCCCAGCCCAACGTCCCAGATTCTGTTCCCAAACGACATGGTAATCTGTGTATCATTCGTTCATTTGTATTTCAAAATAAAACCAAAAATAAGAAAATGAAAAAACAACTATTTTCTTCATTGTATGTCTCCAAAACCAAAATGAAAAAAACGGATAATGATTCATTTTTTTCAGTTTTTGATATTGTGTTTAAATGAATAATGGAAAAAAACTTATTTGTTTCCCGTTTCTGTAATTAGAACTGTGATGCCGGAGGGAACCAGGACTGAACCTGGACTGAACCAGGACAAAACCAGGTCTGAACTGGGGCTAAAACAGGCCTGAACCAGGACTAAGACAGGACTAAACGAGGACTAAACCAGGGCTAAACCAGGACTGAGACAGGAATAAACAAGGACTAAACCAGGGCTAAACCAAGACTGAGACAGCGACTGAGACAGCAACTGAGACCGGGACTTAGACCGGGTCCTCACACGACCGGAAAATCGACCCCAGGATCTTCTTGCTGAAGAGACTCAAAAGATACAGACTCAGTGGATCAGAGGACGAGATTGGGCGCTGCTGTAGATCAATGGCCTCCTTCAAACCTGCATTATGTGGTACAATGAAACAACAGAGTCTCACTATGGTGCGGTTGTAAAGCGACTGGACTCATTGACCCGCTGTCATTGACTGGAGCGCACGGGGGGCTGTTTTGTTTTATAGAGCGGTGTCAGACGGAACCACGCCGCGCTGTCGATGCACACGGCACACTGCCCATGCACTTTACCTGTGGCTTAACACAATAATACAGCATTTTGCACCAAGATCACCCCCGCTCAGGGAGATCTTCAAATGAACAACATTTAATGAAGGTGGCAGCAGAATGGAAAGTAAAACCAAATAACAATGTATTTTTCTGGGGTTTAGGTAACTGACAATGTACTGTAAGCCTGACTTTGGATTAAAATATAGGAAAATTACCAATAGATAAATGATATGTCCTGCCGATTGCATAGTCTACTAAAAATGGGCTGTGGCAAAGTTCTCAAAACTATTATATTTCTCTATGATCTGACTACAGCTGCATTGAAGCTAATGTAAAACCAACTATTTATTTAGAAAAAAGTACCAGGAAACTAATACTGGTGGCCTGTCGATTTGAGCTACCCGATGATTTGAGCAGTTTAAATGCCATCGATTTGAGCTCCCGAGGCAGAAGTGGAGTAACAAGTAACATTTTAAAAGTGTATTGGTTTTATTGTATGCTTTGACCAGTAAAGCATGTAAGAAACAACATGATTTGCGGCTGAATACCTACGTTAGATGGTTTAATCTTTTTTTTTTTATCATTATCATTTTCATTACATCGTATTTTATTTTGTTTCCATGTGTAGAAGACATTGTAACTTTGTGAAAAAAGGCTCTGTATGAATAAAATATCACTATATTATAAAAGGAAATTCACACTGTAGTCAACCTGTAGCTTGGGAGCTACCAGTACTTCTTCACCCCCTTCCAAGCAGCTCGCCAAGGGATTTCTGAATTATACATATTGTGCTGAATAACTCAAATTGGACTGATTCAAAGGCTGTTACCATTATAAATATATCAGTTTAATGACTAACGTTATGCACTAAATAATCTTATAAACATCTAACTGTTCCCCATATAAGGTTGTGGCTCTTAAATTTGCTACATTTCTTGTGACTTCTAACATGAGGAGCACTTTGGCATTTTCATTATGTAAAAGTAGTTCACTGGAGGAAAAAGGTTGGAGACCCCTGCTGTAGCCTGTGATATTTAATTTAGCTATTTAATATGAAGATTTCAGTGTTTCCTGTCATTTTCTCTTATATAGCAGGAGCATTATTTGATAGAAGATATACGCCTGTGGAAATTATCTCCTCTACCCAAGTTCATATAAATGAGTGAATAATGGTGATTCTTCAGTAGGAGCATTATTCGATGTCTAAATTGGCCTGTCGATATGTGCTCCCTTTAGTCGGAGGATACCAGAATACAGCTGCCGAAATGAACTACCTACACATATTCATATAAATGAGTTGAAATTGTACATAACTAAGGTATACATTTTAATCACCATGTGCAAACTGGGGAGATTAGGGTCAGGCTTTATTGAATTTATACATCTGTAAACGGAAATGGACAGGGTAGCATGAAATGATTGACGTCACTGTTGATCTAGCCTGCGGGTAGCTCATTTCGACAAACATCGGCTCTGCAATCATTAAAACATCACTCAAAACTGTTTCTTAAAATAGATAGATACATAAAAAGTGTATAAGTTTCAAAGCTCTCACGTGTACATTAGATTCAGTCGCATTAGATTACACTTTCACAGAGGTCAGAGGCTGAATGCCGATTTTGCACTATTCGAATACCCTCCAAAACTGAAAAATCAATGACAGTCACTTCTTTTGCTGCCGGCTTTCTTCCTCTGTGGACTCCCGTGTGTCAAATTCACTTCTCTCAAACATACACCTGCTCGTCCCTATGAAATGAATCAGACCGATCTTCCAAAGTTTGCATAACGCTGCACAAGTGTTTGCTCCTGGGCTAAGTAAACCAGCGCGGGTTCAAGCAGAAACACAAATTGAAAACAGTGGAGGCAAATTGGCGTCTCAGTGAAGCCTTGTTTGTTATGAGTCCTTCTACACGGGTGCTGACAGACAAGCACTGACACCTCGCCACCTGCTCCGGCATTTTAAATGAGGCCGAAGCCTAATGGCCTTACCTCGCCGCACGTGGAAAGCATAGTAAACTTACAGCTCCTATGGCTCCACTTCATGTAACTGTGAGATAAGAAAATGGAAGTTTGCGATGCGAAGGCAAGAAATAAAGTGGTTTAATCAGGTGCCCCCATGTAGCCCTGTGCGTTTAGAAACAATGCATGCATAATGATGAAAAATTTTGACTGTGACCATAGTGATTTAAAACAAAATATTTGATTTTCTGAATAGGAAGAAGTCCTCAAAATGTTGCTTATAACAGGAATCTAGTTTTTTTCTATGCATTTGTGCATATTTATATATTGCACTAGGGGTGTAACTATATCCAAGTCTCACTATACGGTATAGTCACGGTATGAACCTCACTGTACGATATTTATTGTGATATCCTGGGAAAGCTCATGATATACTGGGGAGGCTCATAATTAGGGATATAACAGTATTTAATAATTTAGTAATTAATTTATTTATTTATTTTGCACATATAACATAACAATAAAAAAAAAAAAAACACACTTGATAAAAAAGTGGGTGCCGGAAGAGACAAAAAACCCAAAAGAGCTTATATTAAAGCCTCCACCTTATGAATACATAAAAAATTTGACATTATCGCTGTGTATAAAAAATATATATTTATATAAAATTACATTTAAACACGATGGATTAAATTCATTTGATTGAAACATTAATTAAAACACAATCAAACATCCACAATTGAAAGATTATCAAACATCACCATGAATATCAGACATTTCCTCAAACTCTTTTTAAACAACGCTTCTGATCTGCCGTCAGTAACCAGATGTGAAAGCTGGCTACACAATTTACAGCCTCGGTATCGTAGCAAAACTGAGCTCTGTATGTGACATATTTTGGAACATTAAAATTATGATTTTGATGAGTTTTGTATCTATGAATCTCTGCATTGGTTTTAAAATAAAATGTGAAATGTCCATATCTCTTGGTTCAATATTTTCATGATATACATCTAGTTAATGTGATATTTTTTGGAGGCAAACAAAACTGTGAATATGCTACTTTTTCCTTTTAAATGCCTTGACAAGATTTAATCCAAAGAACTAAGACTTAAAAGTGCTTAGGACTGTTATTTCTTCTTGTCGTCTACACTGAAATGGAGCAAAGGATCATGGTCTATGTAGTTCTCTCTGTCTTTCCTTTTTTTTTTTTTTTTTTTTTACTATTTTTGTACCATAACTCTTAATTTAAGTAATTAATATATTAAATACTTTGACGATATGATATCACGATATTTCGGTTATTGTTACATCCCTATTTTTTGTGTGTGATAATAGACAAAAGTGACAGCTAAAATCAGCTAGAATTGTCCACTGAACAAAGTTAGAGGTAAAATTCAAGTTCACACACCAGTTGCCACTTGTAATGATTTTCTTCTGACCTTGTTTTCCAGGAGTGCACCAATGATTGCTGCAACGCCAACAACTGCACCCTGAAGGAGGAGGCTCAGTGCGCCCACGGGGTCTGCTGCGAGGGCTGTAAGGTAATATACACTACACAAACTATAACTGTAAGTTGACACGGTCCATACACAGAGGGGCTACGGATCCAACCAGCTTAGTGTCAATCATTGTCTCCGTGACGACAGCGAGCACAAACACACTTCAGTCGTGTCTTTGATTTCCTCTCATCTTCTTCAGATGGAACATGGAGCGGTGAACACAGCTCCTATTGTGCTCTGTACCTCACTCACTCCCTCAGCCTTTGTTCTGTCTTCAAATGTTTTACTTCAGTCGATCTGATAGGAACAGCAGCCCCACTGAAGGATAGAGCAAACAGCAAAGCATTCTGTCATACGGAGTTTTAAGAATATTTATGTCATGCATTAGTAAACATGCTTCTCAGATTCTGGCTACTTGAGGCTTGAGGTGGGCGGCATAATATTGTAATAATATTTTAAACATGAGCATTAATATCTCAGAGAACACTGAAGGATGAACTGCTAAACTAACACAAGAATGCATTTCATAAGGTTAAACTATCTCTATACAGACAGGATATTAAAAAAATATAAAATTCAAACTGCATATTTGTGCGGCCCCTGGGTCTAAGGTGGGTTAAACTTGGCTCCACACTGAGGAGAGTGCTCAGTCAGTAGGATTTTCGTTTAATGGAGTATTGAATATTTGCGTATTCCTAGAATGTGAAGGTAAATTTTGAGTCTAAATGTATGCTATTGTTGTGTATATATCACACATCCATAATCATACTGTACTGTGTGTATGTGTCAGTTGAAGCAAGCTGGGACCATGTGCCGGGGCCCTGCAGGAGCCTGTGATCTGCCTGAGTACTGCACGGGGGCATCTCCGTACTGCCCCTCTAACGTGTACCTCCTGGACGGCTCGTCCTGTCAGTACGGCGTGGCCTACTGCTACAACGGCATGTGCCTGACTCACGAGCAGCAGTGTCTACAGCTCTGGGGATACGGTAGGATACTGACCTGCACTGACCTACACTGAACATCAAAGCTCTGAACAGGATACATTGGACAGACCAGATGAAAGAGATACTGTAAAGTTACAGAAATGGACAAATAACTAAAAGTATCCCATGGCAGAGTCAACAAAACATGGTATACAGAGCCATGTTGCAAAGATGTCTCACCTCATTCGGTGAGAAGTAGAATTAATTAAGAAAAGAGAAGTAAAGAACTCACTGTCGTAGCAAATGAATTAAAGCTCACTACTGCCCATTCACACTAAAACTTTATTACAGCACTGTTTTAGTGTGTGGCATGTTTAATAACCAAAATCCTAAGACTAAAGCATTTCAGTAACATTCTTGGTGCTCAGGTGTGCTGCGTGTGCACCACAAGAGTCTGTGGAGCTAAAGGAAGGCAAAGCTGCAGAATCCGATGTAGCGCTGGCTCATAAGAGCGTGTGGATGTGAGAGAGCTTGATTAATTCACATGAGCTGGGAATAGTGTGTCACAATAGACGTCCATCAAAGACAAGAGTGCTTGTGCTGCCTCTGTGTGAAGAGAAAGTTCCACTTAAAAGTCTGACAATGTTAGCACAGAAGCGCCACAGAACAAGCTACATGTTGACTTTTAATAAGCGCCGGCACCGCTGTATGTGCTTGTGTGTTTTACATAACTGATCTGTGAGGAGGGCTATAGACAGGCAAACCAGCTTTGTTTCATCTTCTGCGCAGAAAGAACAGAAGAGACATGAGAGAGTGTGGATGTGATTAACCCTGGCTCTCACTGTGAGGGGAGCAGGCCCGCTCCACTAATACAAAGCATTATTTACATCCTCCATATCGGGCTCAAATAATGAATGGAAACTGGATAGATGAACATGCAGTGAAACTGAAACTGAAGCTTACTCAATATTAGGTACCATAATTAGGGGTGGGAAATATTTTTAGGAGTATCTCGATCACGATTTTCAGACCACATTATATATTAATGCAGCAGAATTGTTAGTTGAGATTTTTATTTTAAACAATATACTCTATATTCAAATTTGCTCTAAACAACATCAATTGATCTATTTTTCAATAATCTGACCATCTCTAACCATAATTAATTCAGGAACATTATATAAACATTATGTTAATATAGAATCAAAGGGAAAAACCTTAATAATACTACTGGTATTCAAAAATGTGATTGAGATTTGCATTTTTTGTATTATTTCTATCCCAATGTCAGAGTCTTTGTGATAGTTTTATATTTCATCTGCAGATTTTCCCTAAACCAAGCAGGTGCCTGGTACATTCTGCTGTGCACTGCGTGTCAGAGGCAGTTAGCAGCAGAACTAGCACTGCTCTGTGCTAATGGTGGTGTGTGTTTTTGTTCAGGAGCACGGCCGGCCCACGACGCCTGCTTTGAAGACGTCAACGCAGCAGGGAATGCATTTGGAAACTGTGGAAAAGATGAACACGGCAACTATGTGAAGTGTGATAAAAGGTGAGGCATTATTAGCGTTACATACGAGTCGGCGGGAGCCGGAGCATAGGAAATGTAGTTCTGAGTTCTTATTAAATGAGTCACCATTATGTATAGGTAAGGTCATACCTTTCTATGGCAGAAATGAAAGCTATATGCAACAAAAGCATTTCTCTAGCTATCTTTTGCATGTAATTTGAATTTAATCATGAAAAATCTGTTTCCGTCGGAAAATGTCTCATTATTTGCTTTTCACTGTTAAGTTATTGATTAATTAATTACTAATTTCTTTCCCTTAGTTGTAATTGTAAATGAGCGCACAAAGTCTTTCTGAAAAAATGTTTCTAAGAGTCTAGAGCAGATTGTGATCACAAAAGTTTGTTATAAAGTAAAAAAGTCCTGCTGACACTGACATAGTGTTAAACCATCTGTTGTGGATAAGACAATATGTGAACTTGAGGCATATTTACTCACATACAGAGTACACAGTGTGTCTCCGTGGCTGCACGCCAGCGCTAATTAATGAAGCTAAATTAGCAGCTAAACTATGTAAATGAGCGGCTGGATTAAGGTGATGTGGGCTGCCTCTGCCCAAATCCATTACGGTGTCCCGGAGGGGCCATTAGAGAGTTTAGGGTGCTGAGAGTCAGACACATGATGAAAGATATGGAAATGTCTGTTATTAAGACATGAAGCTAGTCTGCTATCTGCCAATCACTTGCTAATCTTCTTTATCCAGCCTCTGCATTGACTTGTGTATTCATACTTATCAGAGACAAACTAAATGCACAAGCACACCTCAAGCTGTTTTTCGCACCTCATGTTTAAACCTTTAAAAAATAACTAAATGTTCTTAAAATATATACTGTAAATGTAAATATGTTTAGTGAAATAAATAGACAAAAAACTTTTTTGTCACTGTCAGTGATGCCAAATGTGGGAAGATCCAGTGTCACAGTGCGGCAAAGAAACCCAAAGGCACCAATGCCGTGTCTATCGACACCACCATCAGGACCGGGGGCATCGAGGTCAAATGCAGAGGGACCTATGTGTACAGCACCCAGGACGGCCAGGGAGACCTGCCAGACCCCGGCCTGGTCGTCACCGGCACCAAGTGTGGAGAGGGCAAGGTGGGTGCTAACAATGTATTTGTTTAAATTTTAATTTATGAACAAATATTTACTTAATTTCCTGTGGATTTTATTACGAGGGACCAATGTACCACCAATCCAACATGAAATAAAATATCCAATGGACTATTTAAACTCACAAAGGCACTGGGAGTATGTTTAACTGCTAAACACTAACCTCCCAGGCTCATGCTGCAAATACATATAAGCTCAGACTGAACAGATAACAGTCTCTAAAGCACAAGTCCTTTTTTTCATCTTTAGTTCACAGGTTTTACCAGTCCTGTTTGCCAGAAGGTGATTAAACGTTTTTCCCACCACTGCACAACTTTTGTTTATTTAGCGACACATCCATTTGCCATCCGCGCCCTCCTCCAGATGGTGCCCTTTAATTGTGTGATTCATTTGTGTAATGACCACATTCATTGCGTCCTCTACAAACATCATGAGAACTGCACAGGTTGCTTTTATCAGACTTTGGATTTGAGTGACGCAGCGACTGCAGGGAGAGAGAATCCGGGTGGTAAAACAAGATCGCTCATATAGATTTGCTCCAAACACAGAAACACAGGAGCGCCAAGTCTGCCCCAATTTCACTGTTACCTGCTCTGACAGTGGGACAATAGAGGAAAGAGTTTATAGTTTATATTCTGTAGGCAAATGTTGTACAGTGCTTGAAAAAATATCAGTATTCTGTACCCACACTACCTGCAACATGCTCCCATTATGCCCTCAAGGAAGATACGCCACACATTTTGCCTCCAATTAGGGATGGGTGATATCTCGATATATATCAAGATATTTTTTAAACATGAAATGTGTTCTGACATATCGTATATATCGATATAAGGCTTATATTTAATTCTGATTTCACTGCTTCTCTTGTTTGCCTTCTCTGTGCTCGCTCACCTGGCACTAGGAGTGTGCTGTTTTTTTCAGCGCTTATAGTTTATGCAAATGAGCCATGTGGTTTTCAGTTTTGTTTTTGTAAAACTTAATGTAGAACGTAAATAAATGTGAGCAAAGCTCTCGCACTTCCGGGGTTCTTGGAAACCATCTAGTTTATTCCAATTCTTGATCTAGTCGCTGGAGAGAAATTAAATTGAGCAGAGGCACTAGGTGGCGTCAGCCTGGCTAGCCCAGCCCTACCCCCAATGTAAAGTATATTTATATACAGTAATACATTTCTGTTTCTGTAACAAGCATTGTATGGTGTTGTTCCCAGTAATCCAATCAAATAGAAGCATGTTAGGTGTGGACAGAGCCTGTAAGATTCCTTTATGACCATTCCAAACTACCAACCGTAGCAAAGAAATTCCTAGTTTCTAGCATGAAAGTCCGGGAAAAGTCGCTTGCACACAAAGAATGCAAAAGCCTTCTGAATAATGTATACCAAATCCATATATATGAAAATACACATGCACAGTGCAATACGCATGAACCCATCTTCTCCAGTGGTGAATTCTGTTTTCGATATTGCTTCTTACGTGCACCCCATTGCCGTCACTTGGGGTCCATTGTGCTGCCTGCGCTAAAGGGACCAGATAGTGCAGTGTGAGTTATATATTATAAATAGGCAGAATATTGTGTGCCATATAGCGTGATGAATTTGGAGTCATCACATTGAAGGTCCATTTCTCAGGCATAAACGCACAGCAAGCATAAAGCAGGCGTTTCTAATCATGTGCAGTGACAGTGCAGCCGCTCCACCACTGACAACAGAAATCACAGAAATGAACTAAGTACACAGTCATAAATTAGCCTGGAGGGAGAACAATAAACAAACTGATGTGAGCAATAGTGAAAATATGAAAGATCAAGCAAGTCTGTGTTCATTCAAGGTAAAGCCCAAATAAAACTACCGTCTGGTACAAACATTTCCGCTGTCAAGCTTAATCTCATTGTACATTGCCTGATAAATTTGCATGTTTTCATTTGTAGACTACCTAAAAGTTTATAACAGAGAAACAATGGGTAAACAGCTGGTATTTTGTAATAGTACTGAAGGGAAGATTAGTACTGAAGGGAAGATTAATTAACAATGTAAAAATGAAATCTCTCATATCGCACGCTAAGAAGTCTGAGCTCTTCAGCGGGGAATTAAAAAAAACAATAACAAAACAAATTAGAAGAAACTTGAGCATAAAACAATCATATTAATAAAGATGGCTGATAGGAAAACAGCGGTGTTTTTAAATATGAATCATTAATTATTCTCCTTCCTTTTATTCAATTTAGGATCATTAAGGATCATGGGAATTGGATCCTAGCCTAGAAACTATGGGCCTTAGGCAGATGGCACCATCTGCTGTAGTTTACCCGTAGATTCTGTGCGTACGAGTGTGTGCAGTACATGTTAATCGCAGTCTGTTCTCACCATGTTTGTTTGTTTTGCCACAGGTGTGCCGAGACCGCCGCTGCCAAAATGCCTCCTTCACCGAGCTGGAGACCTGCATTGCCCGCTGTCACGGCAACGGGGTAGGCACGCGCCACTAGCTCCCGGCCACATGCGCCTAATCTCATTGTCACACTGTGTCCTTGGGCAAAGGTAGCACCGCTGTCACTGCTCTGCTGTAAAACGCAGCCAAATAGAGGGTGAATACAAAAGCAAGTGGAGTGATGAAGTATTTATTGTAGCGGTACAAGCATGCCCGCGGCCGATAAGGCTGTACCATACATAGTTTATGAGGCTAAGAGAGAGCGCAGTGCTCAGGACCATAACACTTGTTAGAAGGAGATCAGAGATTAAGATTATTTATCAGTAGAAGAGGATTTGACCTCCGCAGTCACTGGTTCTGTTCACATTGTTATTGCACTCAAAGAAGATCCATAAAACATGACCCTAGGTTTACATTCTCTTATTCTCCAATGATTTTTCCTCTGGATTTTTTCTCGCTCATTCACTCTCTCAATTGTGAGCAGAGTTGTAAGGGCATTAGAATAGAACTGGAGCACAATGTCTAAGGTTATAGTGTATTTTTCAATTCTGTCAAAATATTGTACATGTTTTGATTCATGCACATTTTAAAAGAATGATTTTCCTTCCAGTTCTTTTCTATTTCATACAAACACTTTGCCCACATTGCCTTGTATGAATGAGGTTTGTAAGTGCTGGTGGAGTTTGGAGGGCCCATGACGCAGATTGGCAGCCTTCGGGCCTGTTTACACGTGAACACTTGCGGGTAAAAACAACAAAATATTTTATCGGAAGTGCCTTTCGTTTAGACGTTGACAGTGTTTTTGGGGCTTAAAAACGCAAAAATCTGAAACCACCCTCCAGAGTGGAAAAGTTGAACACCATAGCGTTTCCTTCTACACTGCCCAAGACACAAAACTCTGGTCAGATCTGCTCACGTATGTGTTTACATCACATACATCACCGCCGAGCGTCACCGCCTGGCATGCATACCCAGTTGAATTCCACACACTTTTGCGTCACCGTATGCACGCAGATTTCCTCCCGAAAACACTTGTCTACACACGGAATAAAAAGTGAAGATGAGACGCCACTTTTGCATCTTCTGTTCAAACCATCAGCATATAAACGTAGCCTTACTCATGTCAGTCTGTCCCAGAACAACTATGGAGTATGAAGTGGATGAATAATGCAATGTAAATGGCTTTGGATGTCTTGAAAGGCACTACATAAATCCAATGCTAGGATAATTTCTAATATACATTTCTGAGATTACTAGTTTCTAATACATCTGTGGCATCGATATTACTACTTTGTTCATAAACTACTAGGGATGTAACCATATTCAATTCTCTCGATATGATATTTTCATGACAATCTCGCAGTACAACAAAATTGTGAATATGATATTTTTCACTCATCCTAATTCAAATAATTAATATTTAAAAGTGCTTCATAACCGTTATTTCAACATGTAGATTGGACTGAAACAGAGCAAAGGATCATGGTCTATGTAGTTCCCTGAGTTTTTAGCTATTGCTGCACCATAACAATGAATTAATCAGATAAACTGATATATATAAGATATATTGTGATGGTCCATGATATTTTAACTTCTTTTTAAAGACAATACAGTAAAATGTATTTTACCTCGTTGACATGTTTCGGCACAAAAAGACAAAGCAGAACAGAAAAACCTAAAATCTGCCATATCAGACCACTGTAAAAGAAATAACCGCATTATGGATCGGGATGGGGCTTGGGTCATTGGATCGGAAAACAACAAGTTCAAATGCTTGATCAGGGAAGCCATTAAAATCAGAAAACGAGGCATGGACAGCATTAACCGCGATGACAGACCGTTCCTTCCTTTCACACACCTGGGACACCCTCCTCCAGAGAACACCGGGCGACTGGAGGCGTGGTCAGTCTGAGCGACCTGCCAGGTCCATCAGGCTGACCACGCCTACAGGAAGTAACAGCAGCTGATATACGACACGTCACCACCAACACTGGGGACAGTTCTGAAGACGGCTTGCAAATAGCAGCCGAAACATGTCAACAAGGTAAAATACACTTTACTGTATTGTCTTCGAAAAGAACCCAAGAAGTTAAAGTACATAAGAAGACAAAATGAACATCTTTGGTCCATGATATTATTGTGAGACTTTTGACAATACAATATCACAATGTTTTTGTTATCGTTACGTCCCTACAAACTACTAAACAACCTATTACAATGCGACTGAGACAAGCTGTATTTCCTTGGCGGGGCATTTGAATTGAAATCCACTGTTAATCTAGTGATAGAGTGCCTTGACATTTTTATTAAAACCCTCCTGACAGATGTTTTCCCCACAACACTAGTTTAAATTCAGTATAGTAGCAACGGCCTCAGGTGACAGCCCAAATCTACACAAATCACTCCTCCATCTTTGTTTTCACACAGACACTAAAGGCGCGTTTATTTTGCTCCCTTACAATCGGCTCAGTAATATGTAAAAGTGAATGGTTGTGCTGTGCTGCTGGGAGAATCCGCCGTGTAGCACAATTGGCAGTTGCCGTTAATGTCCGCGGAAATAGCTTTTTGATAGCTGAGGGCCGGGGCCGCGCTGACAGATGATATTTGTGATGTGCACGGCGTACGAGGTGAGGAAATTAAACGTGAATCTTTTTTTTTCTTTAAGGTTTTGGGTCTGACAGCTCCTCCCTTGGTCCCATGTCTTGTTTTTGTGAGAAGGGGCTATTTCAGTTTGAGCAAATGTAAACAGGGCAGGACAAATGAAATGGGGTTTTACTTTCAGGCTCTGGCACTGTTGAGACAACTTGAATACAGACTAAGAAACTGTTTTATTGAAAGTTTGAAAATTAAGTCCTTTTTTAGATTTGCCTTTTTACACTTTAGATAGTAAACAGCAGAGGTGGGGACTTGGACTCGAGTCAGACTTGAGTCACTATTTTTAGGACTTGAGACTTGACTTAATAAAATGGACTAAGACCTGGGACTCGACTTGGACTTGAAGGTCAGTGACTTTGGAGGTGACTCGGACTTGAGGCCTGTGACTTGAGAAGACTTAATGCTTCTCTTAAAAAAATATATATGTTTTTAGAAAATACTTTTATCTTTACAGTTGATAAATGTGGCGCTTCATTTTACAGGAACAAACTGGAACATGTCCCTCCCACTTTTCTGTTTGTTACTATGGCAACAGGAACTGAAGTACTGTGATGTGGTATCCTCAAATGTACTACAGGATTATACAGTACAATACAGTACAATACGGAAATACATAGAGCGTGATCCTTCCTGACTTATTTAGCACTTTTAAATCTGAATTATTTCTGTTCTGGACGTTATAATTCACACTAAGCTCTTGACAAGATCTTAAAGGAAAAAATTGCATTTCTACAAGGCATTTTTAAAGTACAGTTTACTTTAAAATTCATATAAATTGCAAAAATCTAAGCTGTATTTGGTTTAAAGACTTGAAATGACTTGAAGCTCAAAGCAGATGACTTGGACTTAACTTGGACTTATGAGCCAGTGACTCGAGACTCGACTTGGACTTGACTCGGGTTTGAGACTTACTTGAGACTTGCAAAACAATGACTTGGTCCCACCTCTGTTAAGCAGTTTTACAACACTGCACTACATTACTTTTCTGGTGGGGCTCTGTCAACTGCTCATCTTCAGTGATAAGTTACTGCTTTGTGGGGAATTACTCTTCAGTTTATTTTATTTTACAGGGAGTGTGTACAGGAGTGTTAATCAAAGAAACACTGAACAGACGCTTTGTACCACACTATAACTCTCTGAGCTAATTTCCATCTGCAGTCCCTGAGACATACAAAACACAGAATACATAATAGCATAAAACAACACAATCTATATACAAATTATAATGACATTAAATCATCTCTATCCCCTTCTTCCTACTCCCTCTGTGCCCTTAATTAGATATAATTCAGTTGTTAGTTATAATTTGTTTTTCTTACTTTTGTTGGTTAGGGCTACAGGGTTCCCACGGTCATGGAAATCCTGGAAAAGTCATGGAAATTTGTTAATTCAATGGAAGTTTTGAAAAAGTCACCTCTTTTATGCAACTACAGTGTTCTGTTAAGTTTGTATTAGTCCATTATGATTATTTCTGAACATATGTGTTTTTTATTTAAAAGAGATGACAATAAATGCACTGACAGTATTTTGAATGTTAAAAAACTACCAAACCATAAGGTGAGTGGAAAGGGTTAACATTTCATATTTAGCCCTAAAAGTCTGATCAATTCTACACACGTAAGGTGCCGTAAAGTCATGGAAAATTCTATTTACGTCACGAAAAAGTCAAATTTTGTTAGTGATAAAGAGTACGAACCCTGGGGTTAGTTATGTTGGCACTTCCAATCCAATCCACTTTATTTCTATAGCACATTTCACAAACAAACAGTTTCCAAAGTGCTGCACAAATCATAATAATAACAACAATAATAAAATGATCAAATAAACGCTCAGATTTAATCATACTAGTCTTAAAATAATAAAAACAGTAAAATAAAATAAGAGCAAAATCACAGAATAGCAATAAATAAATAAAGCCAATAAAATACATTAAAAACATGGTAAATAAAATAAATATAAGACACAGAGGAGCACACAACTCACACTGTGTTAAAAGCCAGAGAATAAAAGTGGGTCTTAAGACGAGACTTAAAACTCTCCACTGTGGGGGCTGTTCTAAAAAAAAATTTAATTCCCCCACTAAAGTCTTTATTCACAATATCACATTAATCATATCTATATTTCTTTTGTTTACTTTACAGGTTTTTCATTACTAAAAAAACATCCTGGAAAACGTGCACACTCTCTAACTTGAGCTATTGGCTTCACCTGCTTGTCTCCATGGAGATAAATAAGAATAGTGCCATACTGTGGAACATTTCAGTCAAAGCAATAACATCTCCATGGAAACAAGCAAGCGGTGAACCCAAAAACTAGAAATGTGTATCAGGGATTTGGGAGTTTAACCTTCCTGCACCCCTAGATGCATTTTTGTAGATCTCAACTTTCCTTTTTTGCATAACTTTGGCGTTATTGCACCAAATAGCACCAAAATTGTCCAGTTTGTGTATTTTGTGATGTATTTAAAATTTTTGTGTTTTTTTTTTTTTCAAGACCACATTAACTGAACGGTTTATAATCAAAATATTCACACCCATTGTCATGTTTTACTTGCACAACTTTGCCAGTATATTTTTACTTTTTGATGTATTTTTCATTCTTTGGTGGTGAAAACCCTTCAAATGTTTTCTTTTAGTGTCTTTTTGAATGTTTTGCTATTTTTCTTTTTACTGTGTATCTTCCATTACAAGATTATATTAACAGAAAGACATTTGTACATGTGAGTCCACACTGAAAGCCCAAGACATAGATATTTGAGGTTAAAATGATACGGTTATGTTCTAGAGGAGCCCCCAGCTTTTGATAATCTCTTTTTTTTCATGCACACAATTTGATGCTTTTGCTGTCAAATTGGCATTTAAGGGGTTAAAATTTCAAAATATTGGTATGTATGATTAGGGCAGAAGTAAATGAAGCCACTGATTTAAAAAAGTTGGACAAAAATCCATACTGCATAAAAATATTGTGGTATTCTTTTCCGGTGTACAGTTTTGTCACGAAGGAACGCAGGTGTGATTATTTTAAAGAGGTTTAAAGAGGTAAAATATAATCACATAATCTGAGCATTGCCTTAAAGTGAGTAATACTTTAACTTTTCATGATTCAAGACTAAACCTACATCAATGATTCAATGGACTGAACTTTCTCACTGACTTTTCCCAAACTTGATGTGCAGATTAGCTTTTAAACATGATTAATATTATCTCCAGACGTCCGCTGTAATTCTCCTCTTGAAAATGAGGGGGGAAACCGTTGCCATGCTCCAATTACACCCAGATGTAATTATGCTATCAGTGATTAACACATCTATTTAGCCTATTAACGCTCTCGACTTCAAGGGCGAGGCTTATTTGTAGATTCTTATCACACTGTTTAAGCTTATAGATAATTCTATTTATTTAGTTTTATTCATTTTTTTTTATATTTGGAGTGCATGTTCAGTTTTCTCTCATCTTCAGATCACATGACAGCAAGAAGAACAATTCATACTTGTCATTGTTGGGAGTAACGCGTTTTAAAAGTAACAAATTACTGTAAATGCATTGCTTTTTGCTGTAATGCAGTAATGTAAGGCATTACAAGGAAAAAAGTGGTAATATTTTACTCAGTACAAATGTCAGTAACGCGCGTTACAATTCTGTTTTAACCTGGATTGAAGTGGTGGGTTTTTAGTTTTTTTCCCATACTAATTTGCTAAAATCACCGCAATATCAGCAGCGGTGAAACACCGGAGGTGCACCTGCGTAGACCGTGATCGCGAGTGAAAAGACCGGTGCAGAACTCCGCGATCTACTGAGCTTAACACAGCTAACGCCTGATCGCGGTCGGGCATTCTCTCAGGGGCGGTCCTAGATTCCAAGTTCTAGTCCAAGATTAGTCATGGTTTGGTTCTGGTTTAGTCTTGGTTTAGACATGGTTTAGTCTTGGTTTAAACATGGTTTAGTCTTGGTTTAGACCTGGTTTAGTCCTGGTTCAGTTCTGGTTTAATCCTGTTTCAGTCCTGGTTCAGCTCTTGTTTAGTCCTGGTTTAGTCCTGGTTCAGCTCTGGTTTAGTCCTGGTTCAGTTCTGGTTTAATCCTGGTTCAGTCCTGGTTCAGCTCTTGTTTAGTCCTGGTTCAGCTCTGGTTTAGTCCTGGTTCAGTTCTGGTTTAGTCCTGGTTTAGTCTTGGTTTAGTCCTGGTTCAGTTCTGGTTTAGTCCTGGTTCAGTCCTGGTTCAGTTCTGGTTTAGTCCTGGTTTAGTCCTGGTTCAGTTCTTGTTTAGTCCTGGTTCAGTCCATGTACGGCGCAAACATTCAGCATCTTCGCAGTTATTTTGGTAATTTAAGAGTTACTTAAGAGTAACTTAAAAGTGCTGCAATAGTCATGTAATATTTTACATTTTAAACACAGTAATATTGTAATGTAACAAATTACTTTGAAATGACAGTAACAAGTCATAAATAACACATTACAGTTTTGAAGTAACTTGCCCAACAGTGGTGGTAGTAGTAGTATTAGGACAATAACATGATATATTTTTGTGTGTTTTTTAGGTTTGCAACAGTAATGGGAATTGTCACTGTAATCGAGGATGGGCACCACCATTTTGTGATAAGCCAGGGCTGGGAGGAAGTGTGGACAGCGGACCAGTGCAGTATGACAGTAAGTTACAAACACGAATAAACACAGAAATACACAGATGAAACTGATGGTCAGAAACGAGCGCTGACCTTATGTGTAGTAAACCGCCTTTTGTGAGGAAGTGGTCATTACATTCAGCTTAACCCCAGATCTAATGAGTTTGGACAATACTTAACATTAGCTGTAATCGACTTTTAACGATAAGACATTTGCAGGGTGCTGAAAAGCTGTGGCTAATGAGGTGACGTCCCATCTAAACAGAATGAAACCTTCTCCATGCGAGGGCTACAGGGTCATCGTGTTTATTATAGTTGCAGGAATGTTTCAGGCGAGTAAAAACTGCCTTGCCATATAAAGTAGGGTGACCAGACCTGCATATTTACCCGGGATAGTCCTAGTTTTGAGCCCTGTGTCCCCTGTCCCATCAGATTTATACAAAACCAGTGATTTGTCCCAGTTTTATACAAGAAATGTCCCAGGTATCCCTATTTTTGACCAATTTGATCTAAACCAGATCTAAACCAGGACTAAACAAAGTCAAAATCAGGACTACATCAGGTCTAAACCAGATCTAAACCAGGACTAAACTAAGTCAAAATCAGGACAACATCAGGTCTAAACCAGATCTAAACCAAGACTAAACTAAGTCAAAATCAGGACTACATCATGTCTAAACCAGATCTTAACCAGGACTAAATTAAGATCACACCAGGAGTACATCAGGTCTAAACCAGATCTAAACCAAGACTAAACTAAGTCAAAATCAGGACTACATCAGGTCTAAACCAGATCCAAACCAGGACTAAACTAAGATCAAACCAGGACTTCATCAAATCTAAACCAGGACTAAACCAGGGCTATCACATTTTTTTGACTAATCTGACCCCCGTCAACAGTAAAAAGGTGCAAAAATTGTCATTTGTTTTGCCAAAATACAGAAATCCAAGTTTACAAATGACCATAAAGCAAAAAAATAAATAAATGCAGCAACAGAAGTCTCTCAGATTATGACTGACATTAGAATGCAGAATGTTACATGCTTTTTTCACTATTTTATTTATACCAACCATCCCAAACTGAGTGTGTCGCAGTTTAGGATTTTGTAAATCTGGTCACCCTAATCTAAATTCATCTACTGTTTGTTTGCACTATTAGATGAATTATTACATTGATAAATTTGTTGTCAATTTAATTAAATTTGTTTAAAACTTTTCACACCAAGTACCTCCAAAGAAGAGATTTGGCTTTTAGAAGACCGCCAGATATAAATCAAGTCTATCAGGGGACTATTCCAGGTCGAATCTAGGGCCAAACCTGGTCTAAATGCAGAATACAAATTTCCACTGTAATGCGGAACAATAAATTATCAAAAGAAGGACAAAAAAGTGGATAAAATGAACTCTAAATTAGGCAAACCCACATGGAGGCGGCAGCAACTTGCACACAGCGCACACCTGTGAAGCGGTCTCTGTCATGTGAAGAGGGCAGCTCACCCCCATGTTCATGTGAGCGTCTGGAGACTTAAGTTTTTAACCTGTGTTCCCCATCTCCTTTCTCATTATAAATCAGTGAATTAATAAACTAAACGTAAATTTTTCTCCACACCAAGACATACACATACCACAGTTTAAGAAACACCAGCATATTTTGTTAACAATTAGCTAAAGCTAAATACAGTAATAAAAGCCACTATGTCAGTGTTTTTATCCTAATAATAGTGTTTTTTCACTTTGAATAAACTGAAGTTCCAGAATAGCAAAGACCAGTGTTGGGAGTAACACGTTATAAAAGTAACAAATTACTGTAATGCATTGCTTTTTGCTGTAATGCAGCAATGTAAGGCATTACAGGGAAAAAAAATTAAGATTTTACTCGGTACAAATGTCAATAATGCGCGTTACAATGCTTTTTAAATCTGGATTGACGTGGTGGGTTTTTCGTTTTTCTTCTTACAAATTTGCGATATCAACAGCGGTGAAACGCCGTAGACACTCCCGGGTAGACCGTCAGGTAACTGCGGGCGAAAGGACCGGCGCAGAACTGCGGGCGCTACGGGGCTTAACGCAGCTGACGCCTGATCGCGCCTTGCAGACACCCTGCTCCACGGGCTCGGTTCTCTCAGGGGCGGTCCTAGATTCCAAGTTCTAGACCAAGATTAGTCCTGGTTTGGTTCTAGTTTAGTCCTGGTTTAGACCTGGTTCAGTTCTGGTTTAGACCTGATTTAGTCCTGGTTCAGTTTTGATTTAGACCTGGTTCAGTCCTAATTCAGCTCTGGTTTAGTCCTAGTTTAGTCCTGATTTAGACCTTGGTTCAGTTCTGGTTTAGACCTGGTTTAGTCCTGGTTCAGTCCTGGTTCAGTCCTGGTTCAGTCCTCGGTTCAGTCCTGGTTTAGTCCTGGTTCAGTCCATATATGGTGCAAAAGTTCTGTGCATCTGTGCATTTATTTTGGTGAGAGTAACTTAAAAGTGCTGCAATAGTGGTGTAATGTTTTACATTTTAAATACAGTAATATTGTAATGTAACAAATTACTTTGAAATAACAGTAAGAAGTAATAAATAATGCATTACAGCTTTGAAGTAACTTGCCCAACAGTGGCCAAGACATTATTTAAAATGCAAAGGTGTGGGTAAATTGTAATATGAAGGATTTTTACCTTAAAATGTCTTTGCAGTAGAGTAGAAAGTATAATCCTTTTTCCTATTCCACGCTTCTAAAAGTTCGTATTTAGTGAAACAACCTGACATTACAACCAAAGTGACCTCCATGTTTGATGAAGCACTGTGCCCGAGCCATAGACTGTGTATAGATTTGTCCTGCACTCTCTGACTCGGTGCTGTGGTGTGAATGCAGGTTTATGTCCCTAAACCTGGGGACCGTTTACCTGAGAATACCTCCAGTCTCCACTGGGGAGAAAATATAACTAATGGAGTTAAAAAATCTGAACAAACCGGATAATTATCAGTATTTATTGTTTACCGCGGATATGAATATAGATTATGTAGGTGGTGAAATATGAGGCAGTCAATATTGATGCATGTTTGTGTACAATAAAAGTCTTATGGGACTGTGGATGCAATTTGTTTAGGAGAATTGATTGCATCAGACGGTGTAAATAATGAAGGGTGTGTATTGAGTGGTTGTGTTTGTGGTTGCGTGCAGGTCAGGTGGGGATGGTGGTGGGTCTGCTCTTCGCCTTCCTGGTCCTGCTGCCTGGAGTCCTCCTGATCTTCTACTGCTACAGGATCAAGAGCTCGTACTACCACAAGTGGCTTTCACAGAGGGACAAGAGCAAGAGCAGCAAGTAAGGCCTGTCCATTTGGTTAAATACTCTATACTGTTACCATTGTAAAACTGCTAATCCAATCTATTGCACTTTATTTATATATTTTAGCGATGTAACAGTAACCAAAATATCGTCAAAGTCTCACAATAATATCGTGGGCCGTCACAATATATCGAATCACATTGTTTTGTGCAGCAACACCTAAAAAACAAAGGGAACTACATAGACCATGATCCTTTGGTGTTGTCAGTGCAGACTACCTGAAGAAATAACGCTTATTAAGCACTTTTAAATCTTATTTCTTCATATTATAACAGTACCACAGGCTTTTAAAAGGAAAAAGTAGCATATTCACAATTTTGTTAGCTTCTACAAAATATTGCAATAAATATGGTGAAAGTATCGTATCAAAAGATTTGGATATCGTTACATTCCTACATATTTTACAATCAGACAATCCCAAAGTGCTGCACAATAGAGATAAAAACAATACTAATGAAGATTATGAATAAAAATTAATAAATGCTCAGATGCAAAACCAATAAAATCAAATAAGAGTAAACAATAAAATAACTATACATAAATAAAATCAATAAAATGTGTTAAAATAAATAAACCTGATCACAGAAAGGACCACACAGCTCATGGGGTGTTAAAAACCAGAGAGCAAAAGTGGGTCTTAAGATGAGACTCAATATAACCAATAACCGAAATATCGTGATATCGTATTCTCAAAAGTCTCACAATAATATCGTGGGCTGTCAAATATATCAAATTACAAGTTTCTTTGCTTAAATGCATGGTTTTGTAGTAGCAACAGCTTAAAAACATCAGGAACTACATATCCCATGATTCATTTCAGTGCAGACAACATGAAGAAATATGTTTTTTAATTGAATTCTTGAGATTATGACAGAAATAATTCACCAAAATAGTAGGTATTTTAAAAGCAGAAACGTATCCTATCTACAATTTTATAAGCCTCTTCAATATATCGCAATAAATATCGTACCGTGAGATGCATATCGTGATAATATCGTACCGAGAGATTTGGATATCGTTACATCTCTATTTATTTATGATCAATCAATTTCTTTTTTATCTGTGACAAACCAAGCAATAACGTGGCTAGATGGCAAAACTCTGTCTTTGCCTCTGAAAAAGTGCTTCATCGTGGAGAATAATGTGAGAATTGCGAAAGTGAGAAATAAGTTTGCTAATACCGTTGCACAATGAACTACTTCTGTTTTTCACATCACCATTGTGAAACCTGCTGCTAATCAGATCTATTCTAATGTAAATGCATCTTAAGGCTACATGTCTTTATGATTACGTAAATTATAGCTGCTTTGTTCACATTTTCAGAACACAATAGAAATATAAGTACCAAGTGACTGGAGCAGAGCATTTACGAAGAAACAAACAAAACGCAATGTGCTTTAACCTTGTAAACCATGTGGATTTTTATAAACATTTAATTACCCATGACATGACTTCAGCTTAAATAACAACATTTCTGAACTGTTCGCAAAAACCACTCACGTAACTAAAACTAATTTGATTTGATTAAACTCTGCATAAATTTTTTCAGTTAATTATTATTGCTTCATGAAATTATTTTACTTACATAATCCACACTTAGATTAATTTGTTGGCAGGGTACACTTTGGTAGAATTTAAAAATGTAACTATGGAAGCAGTTTACAGTTTACATAGTTTGAAGATAAAGTTGAATACTTGTAAACAGAAAAGTTTTACACTCACTTTTTCCTCTTGTACTCAGACATCACCTTTTCCTTCTCAAGTTAAAGGCACTGAGCCAGAAAAACAAAACAAAAAAACAAAACAGAACTAATTCATTTGAAATGGTTTGTAGCGGTCCAAAGTTATTCCTCACTTTCCCGACGCTTTCCTAGCAACTGAATTTATTACAGACTAAAATTATTCATAGCAATGAGCAACAGAAGTGCCAAAATTAATGGGACAGCTCAGAATTTTGGACATTGGGCCTCATTTCCTAGTGAGCCAGAGTGTTGGAGACGTGTGGAGACACTTTTTTAAACAGTCCATCCAGTCCTTGTATACGTGCATCCCGAATTTCTGACTTCCGGTCATCGCGCAATGCATACTGGGAAGGATCCTCCGAAAATGTGAGCATCAAACCGCCATGTTTGATTTCCTAGTGGGATGCCTCTATTGTCAAAGCCAATCTTTTCATGTCTTTTGAACCATATCGCTTTTGTTTCTGGTTCTGATATTGTCATATTTTAGTTATGGGATTCGGACATCGTAATTGTGTGGTTGTTGGATGTCCTAACAGCGGAAAACAGCTCGAGAAATGGGCTTCGGAAGTTTGTGAACTCCATAACTGCAAAAGGGAATCACATCTGTGTGACGCAAACCTCTGTTCAAACTGTTTCTCTTCCCAACGGAATTGAAAAATAGTGAAAGGCGAAGGCGATGGGCAGTATTGATACACAGGAAGGCTGCCTAAGAAATCATCCCGAGTTTGAAGAGAACATTTTGTATGTGGAGCACCATCAGAACAAAATCCCGATGCCTCACTCAACCTTGGTTACGAATTTGAAAAGTCAACACCAAAGCGAAAGGCACCAACTGTTCGCCAAGAAACACCTTCCACTGCAAAGCGACCAAGACGTGCTGTTGTTATAAAGTCGAACAAGAAAGTGCGAGCTCAGCCTGTTTGTCTTCTGGTCCTTTCACTTAACAAATGGGATTTTGCTTTGTTGGCGCTTCACATACAAAATGTTCGCTACAAACTCGGTATGATTTCTTAGGCAGCCAAAGATTTCCTTTTTGGTCCTTCCTGTGTATCAATACTGCCCATCGCCTTCACGTTTCACTATTTTTCAATTCTTTTGGGAAGGGAAACAGTTTGAACAGAGGTTTGTAGTCACACACATCTAATTCCCTTTTGCAGTTACGGAGTTCACAAACTTCTGAAGCCCATTTCTCGAGCCGTTTTCCGCTGTTAGGATCCAACAACCACACAATTACGATGTCCGAATCCCACAACTAAAATATGACAATATCAGAACCAGAAACAAAAAGACTAGAAAAGATCGGCTTTGACAAATAGATGCATCCCACTGGGAAATTAAACATGGCAGTTTGATGCTCACTTTTTCGGAGGAACCTTCCCAGTATGCATTGCTCATTGACTGGAAGTCCGAAATTCGGGATGCATGTATTAGACGTAGACAACGCACACTGGTTTCATTTTCATCCTAAGAACTGTGTTTACAATTTATCTGTACTGAGAGGCAAAATAAATGTTACTATATCACATGAAAAATAAAATCTGGTACAGTCTCTTCAATACTGACATTGATTTATACTTGCTTGGGATTCCTACAAAACAACCGCATTTTCTCTCCTCCACAGAGTCAGACCAAACAGACGTAAGCCATAAAAGTCAAGCATAATTTCTGTAGTTATAGTATTGACCGCCCTCCATCACCTCCACAGTAAGGCGCCTCCCATAAAGCTGTATAAACGTGTGCACCTCCTTTACGACCACTGTCCCTCACACACTCCGACAGCTCTCATAACAGCAGCCTCTTTCCCCTGATTTAGCGGACAGACCTAGAACTCCTTCAAGACGCTGACCCCAACAGCACAGAGAGGCCAAACACCACAACTGAAGCTTATATTATCTATTATAAATCTGTGTATTATTCGTTCATTCGTTTTTCAAAATAAAACCAAAAATAAGAAAACCAAAAAACAACAACTGAATGATTAGTTTTTTCAGTTTTCAATATTGTGTTTAAATGAATAATGGAAAAAATGGATAACATTCCCATTTCCGTGACTGAACCAGGACTGAACCAGGAATAAACCAGGACTAAACCAGGACTGATCCCAGGACTGAACCAGGAGGACTAAACCAGGACTGAACTAGATCTAAAACAGGACTAAATCAGGACTAAACCAGAACTGTCGCCCTATCACACTTTGCGGACACCCTGCTCCGTGGGGTCGAGGTTCCCCCTCTCTCTCTCAAGTCCAAGATTAGTCCTGGTTTAGTCCTGGTTTTGTCCCGGTTTAGACCTGGTTCTGTCTTGGTTTAGACCTGGTTTAAACCTGGTTTAGTCCTGGTTAATCCTGGTTTAATCCTGGTTTAGACCTGGTTTAGTCCTGGTTTTGTCCTGGTTTAGTCCTGGTTTAGTCCTTGTTTAGACCTGGTTTAGACCTGATTTAGTCCATGTTCAGGCCTGGTTCAGTCCTGGTTTAGTCCTCCTGATTCAGTCCTGAGATCAGTTTTTTTGGGGGGGATTATGATGGAAATAATTCACACCAAAATCTTGTCAAGGTGTTTTAAAAGCAGAAACGTGTCCTATCTACAATTACGCTCTCCAAAATATTGTAATAAATATCGTATCGAGAGATTTGGATATCGTTACATCCATATTATTTACATTTTTGTAAATTAATGAACACTAAACAATCACCGAGTTCTATGCCAGTCGACTAAAACTAGACAAACAGGGATATATTTGAGGTAAAAAATTATAATTAATAATTAAATATAGACTAAAACTATATTTTTTTTAAACTTGGTTGTCAAAAATGATTTCTGCTACAGCATAAGCATAAAACTACATCTCGCAGGCTGGTTCCACAGTGGGAGGCCGAGTTGAGCCGCAGTTCAGGGTGAGGACAGCAGGGGGTGTAAGACTGATTAAAAGACTATCCAGGCACATATGCGTCTACAGTTAAAGCGGAATATTCAGAATCCATTTTGTTTTATCTACATACAGATTGACAACGAGCAACCCAAGGCTATGATGACGAAACTAGACTACAAGCGATGAGATGTGGAGCTGAAATGTTAATAGTTTGGACACGCAATCAAAACATGATAGCAAATAAAAACTAAAAAGCTGAAAATAGGAATACACATGACCTCATTAAAGGGTCTGTACCTGATTTTATTATTATTTTTCATGTGCTAAAGTGCAGTTGCAATACATTGCCTTTAAACTCATGATTTGTTCTTCTGAAAATATGAAATACCCAAACAAATACGTATTAATCTTGTGTGAAAAGTGTGTTGTACAAGTGAATCATAGTATCTGGTTCATTTTGTCTTTGTGTGCGTGTCTCTCAGGAGTGATGCGTCAGTGGAGAAGGGGAAGAATGGACACCTGAACCCTGCCTTCCACCTCAAAGTGGTGGGACCTATCAACAAGGCCAGCGCTCACAAGGGGGTACGTATAACACCAAGTATACATCAAGAGGACAAAGTAACAACTGTGCCCTTTCTTCGTAAGCACAATTCACATCATGAATCTTGGTTCCCATATGTGAGTCATTACTGTGCACATCTACACTGAAAGACTGAAAACATACATTACGTTGATTGCATCACAATATGGATATGTAAAAATGATGGCAATTTGCCTGCCCCACATCACCAGAGGCCAATTATGTCTGTGAAAGGTTAGTTTTATACATTGCATGACATCTAAAAAGGTTATCCAAGAAATTGTAGATTCTTCCAATACAAACACAACAAAACATAGAACAAAGCTGCAGCATTAGTTCACTTATTTATAGGGATGTAACAATATCCAAGTCTCACGAAGCGATATCGTCACCGTATGAACCTCATGGTACGATTTTTATTGCGATATCGTGGGAAAGTTCACGATATTGTGGGGATGCTCACAATTAGAAATGTAACAATATCCAAATCTCTCTCTATGATATTTTCATGATATACATCTCACTGTACGATATTTATTGCAATATTTTGTGGAGGCTCTATGCTACTTTTTCCATCTACTTTTGCCTTGAAAAGACTTAATCCAAAGAACTAAGACTAAAAAGTGCTTAGAACTGTTATTTCTTTTTGTAGTCTGCACTAAAATGGAGCAAAGGATCATGGTCTATGTAGTTCCCTCTGTTTTTTTAGCTATTGCTGCACCATAACTTTTAATTTAAGCAAAGAGACTTGTAATTTGATATATTGTGATGGTCCACGATATTATTGTGAGAACTTTAACGATACAATATCACGATATTTCGGTTATTGTTACATCCCTATTTATTTAGCTAAAAAAAATTAGGCACTGTCTCAAGTAAAGGGACTGTAATGATGTATGCTGTGTGAGCTTTTTTTTGTTTGCTTTTTTTGAGATGTGAGATTTATGTTTAAAGTTATATCTGTGTCATTAGATATGAAGTAAACATATTCAAATCAAACATAGCTATTTTGTTCTTAATTATAAAAACATTGGACATGATGGCCAAGTTGTTGTTATAATGTGGAGTTCTGGTTGTCAAGATAAGTGTCTCTTTTTATCTGAATACTCACTACCAAAACCTCAGCCAGTCTAAGGCTACGTTCGGACTGCAGCCTGAAGTGACCCAAATCCGATTTTTTGGCCCCCTATGTGACCTGTATCTGATCTTTTAATGAACGACACAGATCCGATTTTTTCAAATGCGACCCAGGCCACTTTGATATGTGGTCCTAAAACCAATACATATCCGATCTTTTGACATGCGACTTCAGTCTGAACGGCCAAAGCGCATTTGTCTGACCTACACGTTATCAACAAGCCACAAACGTCACTATTCTGCGCTGAAGTAGGCAAAAATTGTTGTGACACGGAGTTGTTGAACTCCGTGTCACTGAAGCGAAGCACATCACCACTCACCACTCTTGGCTACGTCTCCACATCCACATGTTCCTTTCAACAGACTGCCCCACAAAACACCATGGCCAAAAACCTCCTCCTTCTCCTTCTCAATCTCCTCCTTAAAACAAGTAAGTTGTTCATGTTCTGGCTCCTGTACGAGAGGAACTTTAAAATCTCCAGGTGCTCAATGCTCACGTCCATGTTTGGACAACTTCCGTAAACACAGAGCACGCTCTCTGCGGTTGATGTCGTCGTGTCTCCAGTGCACATGCAGGACACTTTTGGGCCATTTAAAGTTCATACTGGAGTTCACATACAAGTCGCATTTAATTGGAAATGTGAACGATCTCGCAAAAACATCGGATTTCAAAAAAAAAAATCAGAATTAAGCGTTAAGCCCTGCAGTCTGAACGTAGCCTAATAATCAGTGCAAGCTTTCACATGAGGCATGGCTTGTCCTGAGCATTAGTGCAGTTTATTTAGTTTATTTTACAGGGACCATGTACCGGAGCATTAATCAAAGAGAACACTGAAGAGATGCTTTGTTCCAGAATATACCTCTCTGAGTCCCATCTACTGTCCCTGAGAATTATACAAAACATAGACTGCATAAATAGCATTAAAGAATTCAGTGCTGTTTTAATGAGGAAAACTTATATGAGTTCCCTTCATGGAGGTGAAGGCTGTCACTGTTGTTAATTTAAAAATACAAAACAGTAAGAGCACACGTTACATACTGTGCCTTTAAGAGCTTAAGTCTGGTATCGACAGCGCCCTGCAGCTGTCCGAGAGATGTGACTAGAAAGAGCAGGTGCTTTATATTGCAGAGAGTTTGTTTGAGCCATAACAAGTGTGTGGGGACAGAGCACAGGGCGGGCGTGTTTAGTGTATAATGGACTGACCATCAGCTTGACCTTCATATTGAATGGGCTCCTTTACTGCAGCTTGTTACACTGTTAGACCACTTAGAGCTGCTCTCCTCCCACATTCACCCACTATCGCCACGAATTGTTTTTAGACGCTTTTATAGATGGGCTTAATAGCAAATTTGTCATTGAGATGAGCTTTGCAAGTGCAGGATGAGCGATAGGTACAGAAGTGTAAGAAAGAGCCCATTTCATTTGGATAATGCATGCAACACTCCAGATTTAATCACACATGCTTTAATAAGCTCAAAAGGCTTAAGTAATGGAGCTGTCACGCCTCCTCATTTTCCAATAACACTGCTCTGGCCACGCCCACTATAATTACCTTCTGTAAAGTGGAGTTAAGTGAACGCCGTTTATTCTGCCAGGATTTTTTAATTTATCATTTTGGAAAAAGAACAGTACATGAAGTGTAAATTGACGATAAGGGCAGGTATGACCAATAGAAATGGCCAAAATAATAGAAAAAAAAAAAGATTAAAAAGACAGTTTTGCTGTATTTTGCTTGTGACTGACAGCTACTTTTGTTGTTCACGTCTTTAGAAACTGCATTAGCACAAGTGTCAAATTACTAATAGCTTTTTGATTCAGTCTGGATTCTTGCCAAAATAAAGTGAATGACAATGAAGGTGTAGGTTTTTTGTAGGTTAATGGACCATTGTCTGTATGTATTCATAAGTTTGGCAAGTACCAGTTATATTTTAATGTTGGCACTGGGGCTAGATTAAATATTTATTTGGAATTTGCTATTAGGTGATTAAAATGTTTTCCTCAAAAGCCAAAATAAATGTCATGCACTCACTTTGAAAATGCATTAGAAAGACCTGGAGGTGGTGTTTAATCATCCAGAATGTAATATTACCATTTCCTCTCATCAAAACAGTAGAGCTATGACTAAGGATCCGTGTTAATAAGGAGCATTTCAAAGGACATTTCCGAGTACCATTTTTAATATTAATCGTTTCTTATGTTTAATTATCTCAGTGGTTTTCAGAATTTTTACATAGTTTCTTACAAGTTCCTTTTAAATTTGATTTTGATTTGAAATTTCATAAATTTGATCAATCTGTGTTCCCAGATCTTAGGAAAACAAGCCCAAATCAAGTTTTGATTTTACTTAGTGCTGATGCATTCTCAGTTTTACCAGTATACAGTTTCCAGTTACACAATCAGAACCCAGAATGAGTCTCACATGAGTCTCTCCTTTGGGTTCAAAACTGAACCAGTTGGTTTGAACCTAAAAAGACTCTCTCTGATCTGAATCGTCACTACCTAAACCCCAGCACGTACAGCCTAGGATCAATCAGTGCTAGTGCAGCCACTGACTGAATTCTGGAGGTTCTGAGCTTACACTGAGAAAAACTTGTGGGTGTCCCCCATCTTCAGGTTTAGAAAATGGCATCCCCAGTTCAGTATCTTTTTTATTTTTTGTATATACTTATGCAAATGACATGTTAATGACACTGGTATAGTCTTGGTTTAGTCCTGGTTTAGACCTGGTTTAGACCTGGTCCAGTCCTGGTGTAGTCCTGGCGATCAGCTCTGCAGTTGCAGTATATTTATAATCCGCTAATGACATGGCATAGATTTTCTTGTTCTGGTGTTTGTGGCTTCCCGCCCTGTGAACGAGAATTCCACCCAAACTCCAAATTCACCAACGCTTTATCCTCAGCATGTTACAAGTCATCCATGCATCTCTGCTGTGTATGATCAGACTAATGAGGTGGAACTGGCCAAAATTTCTGATGATCATTTAGCTCATTGGCAGACAAAGGCGTCTCTCTGATCTGAATCGTCACTATCTAAACCCCAGCACGTACAGCCAATGATTAATCAGTGCTAGTGCAGCCTCTGACTGAATTCTGGAGGTTCTGAGCTTGCACCGAGAAAAAACTTGTGGGTGTTCTCTATCTTCAGGTTTAGGAAATGGCATCCCCAGTTCAGTATCTTTTTAAAAATAGTAACAGTGCAGATGTCCTTTAAACAAAATCATACTCATAACTACAGGGATAACCAGGTCCAATCCAGTACTGAAGACAGTCAAGTCGAGACTAAACCAGCACAAGAAAAAGTGTGGTTAAAAAGTAAGCAATTAAACTAACTGGGGTTCAAATTTAAATACTAACCTAAAGTAGCCCTCGCACCACAGTCTGCACATCACTGACTTACCACTGACTTATTTCTCTCCTGTTGTAGCTGCCTCACACCAGTAAAGAGATGCTGCCTCTCAGACCAGGCCCCGTCTCCAACGGCACCCAGCCTGTGAACATAGTGCGCCCGCTCAGACCGGCCCTGTCGCCCAAGGGTGCAGCTCGGGACACGAAGGCTGTACGACCGCCTCTCCCTGTGGGCAAACCACCAGCCGCCCCACACAAGACCCCTCCCACCCCTCAGAGACTCAGCCCACCCAAGAAGCCTCTGCCCCTCAACCCTACCAGATCTCCACTGGTAAGAACACACAGGACATGGGTCAAATACAAGTGAGTGTGGGAGGAAAGGAGCCTTAGATATGCCGGGGATGTTTCTGTGTCATAGGTCAAGGGTCAGTCTATCTGCTCTCTCTCTGTATTACCGCTCTAAAGAAATCAGCTTGGAAGAGAAATATAATAAGTGTGCAGTCAGTGGATGAACCTACAAAAAGAAGATGGATTGTCTTGATGATTAATTACAGAACTAAAACCATCATCTTACCCCAAGAAGAGGCTAGAATAAGAGTTTTTTTTTTTTTTTAGAGCTGTTACAATACCATTTTTTTGGAATCTGATCTGATACCGATACGTGGCCTTAGTGTACTCACTGATACCGATACCAGTCCAATACCACATGGTGGGAAGAAGTAGATTTAGGCTACTCAGTTTCGTTACAGCACAAGAGCAATAAATAAATCTACTAAAAGAATCTAGAAGAATAAATGATATTTTGAGAACTAAGTGTTAGGAGTCAAATATATAATGATCTTGACCATAAGTATTATACTTATATTACTTATATATACTTATACTTTTGTCATTCGTTATTTTCTACCGCAGTGCGTGGATAAAACCTACAGTGAGGCGTGTAAAAAGATGCTCATCCTCGGAGCACATGGCTAATTATGCAGAGTAAACAAAGTGAGTCAGCGCTGTTGACGCTGTTGTTGGGCTGTACTCTCCGTAGCGCAGTTTTTCTATTAAGTTGAGCATCCACTCCAAAGGCGAAATGAAAGTAAATATACTGGCACAGTATCTCGCAATCAGATCGTCAGTCAGCCAGCTGTCCCGCATGAAAGCCAGAATTGTGATGTTTGCATTTGAGATTTTAAAGATGATCACCTGTGGAACTGGAAACATAAAGAGGCGGTGTATTACACTGCAGACTGCATAGGAACAAGCCTCATCTTTTCAAATGTGTAGGACCATGGACGGGGCAAGCTGACAATGTGCTGCGTTCAGATCTGCGTCTTGTACGCCGTGGACGAAATACTTGACGCACGTCCAGAACTCGCCTAGTCCCTGGGAGAACCCGAAATCCCACAAGACACCAACACGATACAGACAGGACAGAGGCTCCCTCATAGAGAAACAGGATCCTGTGTCGCGGGTTCATACAAACACTTCAAGACCAAAATGACAAGGCCACAGCAGCAGCCACAGAGACACGGGACACAACATTCCAGTAGTGACTAAAATCACTTTTAAGGGCAGTTTTGTTACAGAGACTTAGTAATCAATTTTATTTATTGCTTTGGTTGTATTTGGTTCAACAATGGTTTATTCAAGTGCATTTTTGTGAACAAGTCTTTGCTGTAAACCAGACACATTAGGCTAGTTCTATGTTAACATGTCTGTTTTATTTAGGCCTATTGTTTTTGGTTGTCTTACACTTCCTGTGTTAAATGTTATTTAGAAAGTAAGGTTTATTGATCTTTGAAAGTGTGTGTTTGCATTTTTATTCCATGGTCATTATATTAGTTGAAATTGGTCTCAAAATGTCAATATTATCGTTTATCGCAATAATTCTTGGTCAATTAATCATCCAGCAAAATCTGTTATCGATTCGTTACTGACCTAGTTGGCGTCAAGTGTAGTTAGACGGTCACCACTTACTCGGCTTTTAAGGGGCAATATTGTCATCTGCAGTCTGCACCTGCTCTGTTTGCTGCTCCTACGACCGTTGTTTCAGATTTGAAATGTGCAGTTTTGTTGTGTGCCCGACCAGTCCTCATTGTGGAAAATACAGAGTACTATGAGTGGTTCCTTGTTGTAACAGCAATTCTGAGTGAATTGAAAGTGGAAAAGCGCTATATAAAAATGTGACCATTTACTTGGCCTGGAGGAAGGCATAAAACTTGCATAACACCTCACTATGGAGAGGGTTTAACTTTCTATCTCCATGGAATCATACAGGTGATGTGCCACCTGCAGGGTATACAGAATACATGGTATAAAAGAATGTGTATTTTATGACTGTAGGTACATAAATGATAAGCTTTGACCAAGCTTTTAAACTCTTAATTCAAACCTGTATTTAATATTTTATTTATGGATTGATTTCTTTTTTGAGTCAAAAAAGGAATAAGAATGTTACTTCCACTCCCCTGTTGAGATCCATTGATCCAGGACTTGAGTATGATTCGAATGCCCACTGTGATGAAAAGGTTTAAGTCGTTAAGGTCATTTAAGTTACCTCTCTCATAACATAAGTAATCTTTTAGTGTGACTCAGAGTCTTTAGTATGACTCTTAATCTTCTTTATAACTAATGTTACAATTACGTGCGGGTTTGATTCTAGTGAAGCTCCTTCAAACAGAGCTCTCCTGAAAACATGCTCTTGTGTTTGTGGAGATGACTAAGCCTGATGTCCTGTCCATGTCTCTGTCTGTGCTGTCGGCTTCACGCTCACGCTGATAGACTCCCTCAGCTCCTCAAAAGCTTTTCCTCATTTCAAGCACGTGGGCTTTTTTATCATCACACCTCGCTTCTGCAAAGTGTCACAGCACAACTCAGAGGTTATGGGCTGTCATATTTTCATCTTTCATATGCACAAAACCTGACACATCTGCACTGCTCCAATACAGTTTCCAAGATTGGTATGGACAGTGCCAATTGGACTAGGAAAGCAGCTCTTTTCCCCACATTTAGAAGAAAAGGTAGCTCTGAGACTGCCGACTTAACATCATTTTCTGCAGAAATGATCCACATAGAAAGCATTTGCAGTTTGTACAGGTTTAGTTATATTATGTCTGTTTAGTTTCATTTTAAATGCAGTTTCTTTGAAGCACTACATTTTATTGATCTTTAATCCAAAATGTTCTCTTTAGTTTTCCGCTATGATTTGGAAATATCCAGTTTTTGAGGTTTTTATTTAACTCAGGGGGCCAAAATGGAGTGATTTCAAAGCAACAGATCAAACCACCCGGGTTCTGCGAAATCTTTTTTTTATTTTATTATTATACTACACACAATTTTATTTAGTTCGAAATACAGAAAATGTTGAAGGGCAAGAACATTTTTTTTTTTTAACTTTAGCTCAAGAGTTCCAATCTGTCTATAAATACAACATTTTGTGGTCTCACATGGAGCTGAAATACGATGACAGTTGGTAAAGTTGGATTTCCCTGAGGGTAAAAGGCAGCTCTGATAGGCTTGTTTGATATTCCAGGTTGCGTTGGGAGCAGAGTAAAAACAGCTGGCACCTGCAGTGTAACCAAATCATTTGAGTGAGTTCAGTAAGGAGTCATTCTCAAAGACGGCAATCAAATATTACAATGGGCTGTAATCAGCACAGGCCCTGCAGTAAGAAGTAATAACGTCTGTTCTCCTGCAGTGGAGAACACGGTTGCAGCGTCAGGATCGGCTTTCAGCGATAGATTCAAATTATGGAACTATTTCTCCTCGCAAGTCTAAAGAAAATGGGCCAAGATTACTGCAATGCCTTACTCAATGCCCTAGGAGGCTTTAATTATATTTTTGCCATTTGTGCAAATTACCTGATAGGTGTGGTGAACAAAATATTATCAAATGAACCACTTTTCCTGCAGGATTTCCAGCAAACATGGCATGCCACCAGCCTAACTTATAAGTCAGATCTGTGGAGAGGCAAGGATGATAAGTTTATTACCATACTGTGGAATATTCCATGCATAGCAATAACATCTCCATGGAGATAAGCAGGAGTTGACCATGTGATTAAAAATGATAGAGGAACATGACGACGCATTAGACAAAGGACAGACCCAAATAAAGAGAATAACAGAGCAGAGCATAAGTAGAACACATTTAAAGAAGTTTACAGACACATTTCTTCCCATCACTTGTCTCATGGTTTGGTTCTATCACCTGATGGTGTGATATTAGCAGCAATATTGGGGAGGCTCACTGTAAAAACATTAAACCTCTAATAAGCCTCAGGTTCAGTCACTGTTATTTTTCAAAGACGACAATACACAGTTCATGTAGAGTAACAATCAGTAAATTGAGATTAGCAAAAATACTGTTGTGATTTAATCCTGTCTCTCTCTGTCTCCATCAGTTGGTGTCTGAGCTGCCGTCCGCGCCCTCGGCCTTCCCCCCTCAAAGGCCCCTCCCCCTCAGCCCGGCACGGGGAGCCTCTCCCTCAGTGAAGCCCAGACCCTCCCCAGGCCTGCAGGTCATGATGCCTCCAGCTGTAGGGCCAAAACCTGTGGGCAAAGTCACAGCCATCCCCCCTCTCAGAGTACTCAGGTGGGCCACTTCAACTCATTTGATGTGAACACAAATTCACAAAAGAGATTCTTTACTTATTCCACATTTTTACTCATGACTAGTGACGTTAGTGAGGTCAATACAAGTTTTAGAAATCAAACTTTTGGCTCCAAATTGTATCTGTATTCGAGGGGCTCTGAAACTCTGCAGCTTTGATTCAGTGATCACACTTATACTTTTAACAGAACTCTGAACATTGTTTATTTTACATGGAAGTGGCTGGATTAATGTCTACTTGGAAATCTAGTCATTCTCTTCTTCAAAGAGGACTGTTTAGCTGTGAACTGCATAACTTACAATCTCTCATCTTTTTCTCCTGTCCTTTATAGACCGGTCCCAGGTGCCAAACCAAACACAGCCTCATCTCCACCACGAAAATGACCTTCTGCTCCCCCCGCCTCCACAGAGCGGGGCGCAGCCTATTTGCACTAAAGAGACTTTGGCTGGGCGCACAGAGGAGCGCACAGAGGAGCTCACAGAGCAGCGGAGGACAAGCTCAAAGTGAAACCTGGAGACACAACCACAGGACACAACACAGTCCAGGTGGAAGCCTCAGACAGAAAAGGCCTTGAACACAGAAAAAACAATCCACTGCTTTCTGCTCATTTTACACTGGGAGAGTCTGCAGGCGACACAGTGGATCGGGCTAGCTCTCACCTCACAGCAAGAAGGTCCCAGGTTCAAGACATACTCCGACCACACCCCCTGGTTGAAGCAGGTTAATTGCAGAGGTCAAATTTACTCTGGGAAGAGACGAGTTTTGTTCAAAACAAGTATATTTAATTCTGCAAAGTACATCATCTACTTCTACAAGGATCATCAAAGACCTGAGTTTATTAATAAGGATACAACAATAAACAATCAAAGTCTGCTTTCACCTGCTTCTACCATAGACTGTATATATAAATGGACATAGCAAACACTCTAGTCACCGCGTTCCAAATAAGATGTTCACATGCCGCTCTTCTGGCTCCATCTGACCCTGGCTCCCGTTGACTTGTATTAGAATATTGTCACCCTTCTCTTTGTAATCACTTATGTGAACCTCGTCATTTTGGTTTTAAAATTTTCACATTAGCCCGCTCTACATCATCCTGGTGTTTTTTTGTTTTGTTTTTTTTCGTTTAATCCTATTCATCATATCGAGCCTGGCTCCAGATTCGGTCCTATATCCGTTCATTCGAGAGGCACTGAATGCTATGGGTGACGTCACACTCGCTTAGTCCACTTTTTTATACAGTCTATGGCTTCTACACAAGGCATACCTCAGCAGTCAGCACACAGGAGGGCAGAGGCCATGTCTGCTTAGGCAGAGGACAGGATCTCAGAAAACAGACAAGGTACAGAAATACAGCAGAAATACAGATATGGTATCATAAACCTTGGTATGAAGAAACATTCAATGATCTCTGTAAATTCATCCATTCACTGTTAGAAGCCAAATGACTGGTACATCTTCTCAAACAGAGCAGAGAGGAGGAGGAGTGTTTTTTATTTAGTCTTTCTGTCGATGGCTGTTTGATCCCACAGTCCCAGCACAGCATCCACTTGACGCGGTTCTGCACAGAGGCCTTGCAGACTGAGATTCAATGGGGGACACTCATTTGCCAAATCATTTTTAAGAGTTATGTTTTTATATTGCGTTAATGCTGTCTGTATAAAACTGCATTTTGTATCAGCTGTTGTATTGTTTACAAGTTAATTTCTTGATCATGATTTATGTTCTGTGCCAAAGAGGTGTCTTCATACCTGGGGTGTGTCCAAATATGCTTGAAAATGCCATTGTGTTTACCACAATCCTGTGTTTTGTTCGAAACATTGATAATTTATTGTCTGTACTGGGTGGAGGAGAGCCAATCGCTGCGCTGTTTACATGGTAGAGGACACACCCACTCGCTCATATTGATTTGAATGTCATTTGCTACGTGGTCTGACTTTTGAATTGTAACATAAACTTTTTTATACAAAGCCTCTTTGAAGACTCATGTTTACATTTAGACACATCAAGTGTCGTTAACTTCAGCATTAATCTGAGTTTGAAAGTTCAGTTTTGTCTGAATTTAACTGCATCTACATTTCACTGTTTTGTGGATCCACTGGATATCTGTATAGCGGACTTTCCGAAGCGGATGCCCTTAGCCTCTGCCGACAGATGATGAAATCAGTGGTTATTCCTCTGGGCTCAAATGGGCGGTATAAACAGAGGGCAGCCCTCACTAGAATCTACAGTCTCTAATCAGGAGTCATTAGCCATAATAGACTGCGCTCTTCATTTCTCTGTCATTTGCATGTTAGCCAGAGCAGCTGACTTTATCAGCTCTGTGCTGCATCTGTGGAATGAGTGTGCATAGAAACAGCACGCTGGATTCTGCTCACGTCGACCGCTGCCCCGTGAGGCCAAACGCTGGCCTGACATTTATAGGATGTAATTGAAGATGGGTATGGAGCTCCATGCACTCAGTGGATGGATATGAGCCAGAGTAGAAGCAATACAAGGCCATGTCAGGCCGCTGTGGCAAAGAGACTGAGGAAATACACAAATACACACTTCCTAGTCAGAGTACACAGTGAATTGTACTCTACTACACACAGAGAAAGACCAGTGCTCCATCTCTGAAGACCAGCCTGCTCCCGTAGACCCAGAGTCTGCACATTAGTGAATAAGTATTTGTCACAAAGTCACAGTGGTAATGGTAAAAACAGGCCCGATGGTTTCAATTCTGGGGAAGTCCTTTGCTCACATCTCCAGTGAAACATTAGTGACTTTAATGACATCGAACTCAGTATTCTTACATTACAGACATGTTAAAATAATAGAAAGAGAGTGTATTGTATTTTTATAGAAGGAGAAGCCTGTGACATGAGGGAAAATTTTGAAAAACATTTATTCTGTTGTCCACATTATCATTCAGAATTACAGTAGTTTACAGTAAAGCACGTGAGGGTCTCCTCTGGGTGCAGGTCACCATCCACACATGAGGGGCCCGGGTGCTGGAGGGTTATATGGGTGCATTCTGCTGTTGGGTCTTCTCCTCCTCGCTAGTCCACAGCAGCCCCCTCGCACTGGACTCATCCACAGTGTTGGGGAGTAACGGATTACATGTACCGCCGTTACGTAATCAGAGTACAAATTATGAGTAACTGCATTCCGTTACACTTACTGCTTCAATGAGTGGTAATTGGATTACAGTTACTTTGCTGAAATAAGTGGATTACAAGGCGGTATTTTCCTGTTTTCACATTTTGTGCTACATCCCATTTATTAATTTTTTTATTTCAGTATTTCCACTCATTGCCAGAAACCTAAACAGAACGCGCGCAATAAGAGCGATGTAAACGTCATGTTAAAGTTGGCGGCGTCAGTCACACAGTGGAAGCAGCAGTGCATTGGTAAAAACACATTTGTGTCTTGGAAATTCTTCTCCCGATGTGAGATATATATAAAAAAACAAAAACAAATATAAAATCGCCTACAACTTAAATGTGAAACAGGAGCTACTGGCACTGGTGAAAACAACCTGCATAGACTCATAATATCTGCACTACTGTCCTATGACCTGCGACATGAGTGGACACACGGAACACACACACACACAAACACACACAAACACACACAAACACACACACTCAAACACACACCTTCATCATCGTCATCAACCTGAGAACCCGCGGACCACGTTTCCTTCCGTAGTTACTGCGCGGACACGTCATCTCGTGCGCCGCGTGTGGACTGTGTTTTCTCGCATAAACCGCACTTCCTCCTGTGCACCTCTAAACCAGAACTAACAGCAGGACTAATCCAGGACTAAACCAGGACTAAACCAGGTTTAAACTAGGATTAAACCACGACTAAACCAGAACTAAAGACCTGATCTAGACCTGGTCTAAACCAGGTCTAAAATCAGGAGTAAACCAGGTCTAAAAATCAGGACTAAACCAGGACTAAACCAGGTCTAAACAACATGACACCTAACAGTAGGTTGACATAATTTAAGGTGATCTCATATAAAAAATAATTTCTCTATCAATAATATTTTTTAATCTGGTGAAGGAAAGGCTGATCTTGTTACTGTCTTTTAACAGACAAAACCTCTTATATTAAGATATCGTGGTCTTTGTTTCTCTACAGCAAACAGTTGCTTATTCATGGAGACTTGGGCTCAGACAATTTGAAGACAACAAACAAGAATTTTCAAAATGTGGTCGCTACATTCATGTCGTTTAAAAAAAACATGACAATATCAAGTAATCCAAAGTAATCAGATTACGTTACTCACTTTAAGTAATTTAATGGATTACGTTACAAACTACATTTTGGGGTGTGTAATCTGTAATCTGTAGGGGACTACATTTTAAAAGTAACCTTCCCAACACTGCTCATCCAACACGACCAAAAATCTCTCATCAGTCACTTTAACTATTAGTTTATTTCACTATCAAGGCCAATATTCACAAGATCATTATCAGAACCAGTGAAAGCGGTCACGTGTTTTCAAACTATGACTAGTACAGATTAAAACTAGTTTCCAAGTCAAAGCAAATTCATAATAATTTCTCCAACATCCAAAATAATCTCCAAACAGATCTCTTCAATCATCCAGTAAATGTAACACTTCCTAAATCATTTTTACTCTAACAAGAATCAAGCATGTCCTCTCAGCCTGTTCGAGTTCCTGTGCATTCATTTTAAAGCCCTTGCCCTTAGTTTGTGGGCACAGACTTGACACAGACAGAATGTTTGGCTCAGAGGAGATAGTTTGGGGCACTGGTGGTGTTGGCAGAGCAGAGTAGATGTGTGCTTTTTGATAGTGAAAATAGAGAGAGGGAGAACAAAGTGTGCGAGGGGCCGACAGAACAAACTCAGTAGAACATGCAGTAGACTAGAGACTAGGGGCTGTGGGTAGCAGCTTAAGTAGGAGTAGTAGTAAAGCTGTTGAGGTATAAGGAGTAATTAAGTGTGGAACAGATTAATCGCAATTTAATGATCCTTGAAATTATTGACAACTGATTTAGTAATGGAATAATTATGAGGCCATTTGGAGTTTTTGATGGAAAACTTTTTTGTCTGTAAATATATTCCACCAGGAAGTTTTCAAGCTGAATCACTCAAGTTTTATCTGGCTGAAATTCAGTCAAAATCTCACAGGGCTTTTGCGATTTAAACAACTAAGCAGTTAATTAAAACAACAGTAGATGAATGGACTGATTAGCAAAATAATCGTTTGTTATAGTCAGTGTTGGAAAGTTACTTTTAAAATGTATTCCCCTACAGATTACAGATTACATACCCCAGAATGTAGTTTGTAACATAATCCATTAAATTACTTAAAACGAGTAATGTAATCTGAATACTTTGGATTACTTGATTTGCTGTAGAGAAGCAAAGACTAGGAAATCGTAACATAAGAAGTTTTGTCTGCTAAAAGACAAAGAAAAGCCCAGTCTTTACTTAACCGTATTAAAAATATTATTGACAGAAGACGAGACACATCCACGCAGCATGGTTAAATCCTGTTAAATCCTGTTTTAGTCCTGTTTTAGTCCTGTTTTAGTCCTGGTTTAGTCCTGGTTTAGTCCTGGTTTAGTCCTGGTTTAGTCCTGGTTTAGACTTGGTTTTAGACCTGGTTTAGACCTGGTTTAGATCTAGTTTAGACCTGGTTTTAGTCCTGGTTTAGACCTAGTTTAGATCTAGTTTAGATCTAGTTTAGACCTGGTTTAGACCTGGTTTAGACTTGGTTTAGTTTCCAGCAATGAGTGGAATTACTGCGAAAAAAAAAAAAAAAAAAAAGGGGGGATATAGCCCAAAATGTGAAAACAGGAAAACCACCATGTAATCCGTTTATTTCAACAAAGTAACTGTAATCCAATTACCACTCACTGAAACAGTAACTGTAACTGAATACAGTTACTCATAATTTGTACTCTGATATTACGTAACTCCGGTACATGTAATCTGTTACTCCCCAACACTGGTTATAGCACTAGAGTAGCAGCAGCAGGAAGATGACCATAAGTTACAGAAGTTGCAGTACATAACTTCAGGTAAATATGCTGGAAAATTTATATTACTCGTAAAATTGTAAAAACGTGTTGTCAGTGCTGTGAAAAGGTTAAAAGTATTGTACCTGGACAGGGACATCTGAAGAGGGGGTTGGGAGGGGCCATCGTTCTGCGTGGGGAGGTGGACTTTCTAAAAGTAGGTCTGGGAAAGTGCAGCTTTGGAGTGCAGAAAGGAGCGCCTAGAAAAACAGGGGCAACAAGATGTAAAAACCCGTCCCCTGAACACGTGGGTAAACAGAACCATAAATGTGGTTTATACTCAAAAACACACAACAGCTAAAGAGGAAGGTCTTGGTTTTCCTGGATTGTTTCTTAGTATGGCATTAAAGTTAACCAACTCCATGGAAACAAGCAGAATAAAGATAAGGACTGATAAGGCCCAGCATAAGGCTCGCTTTTTCACAGACAAAATTTCTAAACCTTTTTATGACTTTTTCATGACCTAAAGTAAATTTTCCATGACATGTGTAGAATTGATCAGACTTTTAGGGCTAAATATGAAATGTTAACACTTTCCACTCTCCTTATGGTTTGGGATTATAGTTTTTTAACTTTCAGAATACTGTCAGTGCATTTATTGTCGTCTCTTTTAAACAAAAGGTGCAGACATCCAGAAATAATCATAATATCCTTGAAGATAACTTAACAGAATGCTGGAGTTGTGTGAAAGAGACTAAAATTCCATGACTTTTCCAAAACTTTCTTTGAATTTACAAAATTCTATGACTTTTCCAGCCCTGCAAAATGACATTTTCAATTTCCTTGACTTTCCATGACCATGGGACCCCTGAGCAAAAGTTACAAGTCAGAACTGTGGATAGGCAAGCCCACTACCAATAAAAATACTTTTTCTCTCAAGGTAATTTTGAGCAAACAAACACATACTTGTGTCTGAACAAATGCAA